AATAACTCATGAGACATTTAGTTATCAAGCACTGGACATTTTGCAACAAAAGGGTTCTAGAGTTTCTCAGGCAATCGCTGATCAGCATGGTATATGATGGGAACAAATGAGAACTTATAAAATCTACTAGTCTGAAATCCAGAGTTTCCATCATTTCTTCTGAAAATATTACTGTTTAAGCTCTGATACTGGACCAAATGCCCTCTTTAGCCCAGCAGTTTGGCAAAACCTTTTCTTCTTGGCCTTATCTTGCCTGGGAAAAACAGGGTGTTTTAAAACAGGTTCACTAATGTCACATGTCAAAATCCTAGTGTAGATAAGGCTAATAAGGGTTAAAATTCAAATCGCCTTGTCTACACAAGGGCTCTAACGTGTTACTTAACATATTTAAAAATCACACCTTTCTTCCTAGTGTGCACAGCCTTTGTCAGTTTGTGACCTCCACCTCTTTCATGGGCATCACTTCTCAGCCTCCAGGGCGATAATCAGTTATAAGAGGAAATCACCAAATGCATTCATCTACCCACTTCACTTAGTTCAGATATGCTCAGGCATTAAAAAGAACAGGTGGGGGGCGGGGGAACCTCAGGTTTCCATAGCCTAGGGCATCGACTGTGTGTTGGAAAACAGGTTACAGTACAGCTGCTCAGGTCTCTGTTGTAATTCAGTAAGCTCAGACATTGGAAGTATTGGTTTGTGGCAGAGCAGAGAGACAACTGTGTGTAAAACAAACCTGTGGGAGAGTCGGCGAGTGAGGAGGAAGGTGAAAATACACAAGACTTGCCCCTGGTTTGAGGGCAAGAGGATAACAGAGTTGTCAGGTGTGGGACATGTCCCCTCCATCAGTGACTGTGCGTCTGTAAAGAGGTCTGGTAGTTAATAATGTGGTTGTTATTTTTGTCTTGTTATAGGAATGAGAACAGCAATGAGAATTACACAACTGACTTTATCTACCAGCTCTATTCTGAGGAAGGAAAAGGTGTGTTCGATTGCAGAAAGAATGTATTGGGCCACATGCAGCAGGTAAATAAGGTTATGAACTTCCCTCTGCATACAGCAGCAGGATTAATTTAGTGTGCGTGAACTGCTGTCGCCATTCCAGGATTACGCACAAGTCATCCTCCTTGCATGCACTCTTTATCCTTTAGACAAAATTAATGGTACTAAGGGTTTCCTCCATTGTTACTATCAACTCCCAACCCATTTTTGGAGGGATGGAAGAGGGATAACTTTGTTTTGCAGAAGGAAATTGCAGCAGATTCCCTCTTTTATTGTCTCCTTTTTTGTTCTCCCCATTCCCCATTTTTTAAAAAGGGTGCTGTTGTTTTTTAGTAGCCCACTCACTGCCTCTTACAAGACCTCCCTGCAGCTGCCAGTTCAAGAGCATCTCATCCCTGGAAGAGAAATTTGTTTCCTAGAGAACATTTGTGCTCATTGTTCACTTTTCCCCGTCTTATTAATCTTCACTATGATTGGCTTTGCCCTGTATAGGACTCCTAGCTAGTGCATCCCACACACCCAAATAGGGCAGTAGTCAGCGAATAGCAGTATGAGAGTGCATAAGGGCACAAGGATAAGCAACTAGGAAACTTACAGTGGGAAGGAGGGCAGGTCTAGAGGAAAGGGTGTTTAATATGACGCTCTAGAAGTGACTGAAACTACTGGTTCACATGAACCATAAAGTTTTAATTTCAGATTTAAAGCTTCACATTTTTATGTTTGAAGTCTTAACCCTGTGCCAACATTATACAACAGTTTCCCTGCCTTGTAGCTAAGTACATTCTATATTTAATATATTAACACTGTTCCCGCTTGTCTTTATTGTATTTAGAACTAAATGCTCAGAATTTCTGTACATGCACCCAAAACAGGTTATACATAGAAATGACAGTAGAATCTGCTTTCAGGGCATACAGTTAGATCCAGTTAAGAGTCCTGTTTTGACAGCTGGAATAAGAGCAAATAATGGTACCTTTTGCATTTGTCACGTTCTGTGTTCCCACAGATGATCTAAAGCCCCTAGTGTCTGCTTGGTAGCCGTGTTAGAGACCCACCCACTTGGTAGCGGCTGGATGACAGAGGCTAGAGCTCTTTTGATTACAGCCTCCACCCTGTGACACAAGACTGCCAGTGCCCCGGAAGCACTGGCCTGGGCTGTTTGCTCCCTCACCAGTTCTTTATTCTGTCCTTCATTTGCTTCTCTCCTTGGGTGTCTGTTGCCTTTCCTTATGCTTTTTGAGCTCGCTCTACTGCTGGAAGTTGTATTGTGCCATGCTGCTCCAGCAGCACCTTGCAGAAGTGAGGTAGAAAGTACATACAAATAAGCACTCTGCTGAAGAAGGGGGGTGACTAAGTCCCATTGCCTTTAATGGGAATTAAGCATGTCTTTATGCACGCATTGTGGAATTGGGGCCAGTATCTCAAACTGTCGGGGCAAAGTCCCTTCGAGACTCCCACATCGGGAATTCTGGGGCTAAGATAAAGCACTGGTGTCTGTTTAAAAAATATGGGGTTGGGGGGGGGAAAGGAAGATAAGAGGCACAGCAGCCATAGAACAGAAATGATTGGTGGAATGGAAAGACAAGAATAATGCTCCTGGTTGGTGCAAAATTGCAGCTAATCTCCAATTACATTTTAAACTTTGACAGGGTGGAGCACCTTCCCCATTTGACAGGAACTTTGGGACAAAAATCTCTGCAAAAGCTGTACAGTGGATCTCAAAGAAACTGAAAGAAACATACCGAAAAGGTGCAGAAATATTTATGGTTATTTACTATCTTTCTCTTTTTTTCTGTTAACTCCAGAAAATCCAGCTGCTCTAGCCCTTCAAGACATTTGTGGAGTCTTTAAATATAGTAATGGAATACTAGCTTAGCATCTGTGGTTATAAAGTAGTTCTTCCCATCTTACCCGAGCTTTGTTATAGAATATTATTGTGTTTCTAGGTACCAGTGCCAAGAGTATGTCTCCTGAAGAAAGTTTGATACCATAAACAAGGGTTGTCTTGTTTTTCTATGTGCTAGCATAACTAGTTTTTTTTATGCATTCAGAAATTGGTAGTTTTATAGTTACATGTATTCTTCCTTTTTTTGTTTTGTTTCTTGGTGGCTGCATGGGACACAGAAGAAGGTAATATGTCTTCTTTGGGATTTATTTCATCAGCTTCATGAAGCAATATTGACAATAATAAATCTAATTTAAAACTGGAAGTTAAGGCTGCATCACTTATTTGATTAGTAGTTAAGTACATTGCATCTTTACTGCTCAATCATTAAAACTAATAAACCACAACACAGTGGAGGTTTCCCTAACACTGTTAAACAACTAATTCAGATGCTGCTATCGTTTACTTTAAGACTTCAGTAACTCAACAAAATTAAGAATTTTACCAGAAACTCATTCCTAGATGCATTTGTTTATTACAAGAAAAGGAAATAACATTGCCTTGTTATTTTTATAGGAAAAGTGTTTGCCAACACCCAGGACTCCGTTTGTTTGCTAGGAATGCGCAGACGCAATCTTCTTTTCCAACCTGTGGTTGATCTTAAGGATCAAACAGATTTTGTGTAAGTGAAGGCAGCTCTGTGGGGCCAGAAGAGTACAACTTCCAATTCTTCTTGTTCATCCCTCTTTCCTTGCTCCATGTCAAGACGGTAACTTCACCATGTAGCCCCAACCTACCTTTCAAAGTTGCCTATGGTGGTGGCCTTGGATCACCCCCTCATCTGCTTTTCCCACAAGCAACTTCGTGCTTTCTCCAGGCTGCCCCTTTTGCGTGAGAAGGGCTTCCTGTGAGACTTCAAAGCTACCACTGTATCCTCTTAAATCCCTCCTCACAACCTGTCTTTGCTGCAATGCCTGCAAATCACTGTCTGGTATTGTTTAGGATGGCAACCCCTTGTGCCTAGTGAGACCAGTGTTACAACTAATTTATAGGTTTCAGAGTAGCAGCTGAGTTAGTCTGTATTCACAAAAGAAAAGGAGGACGTGTAGCACTTCAGAGACTAACAAATTTATTTGAGCATAAGCTTTCGTGAGCTACAGCTTACTTCATGGGATGTATTCCAATAATTTATACATAGGCAGCCACCTCGATTAGCATCTTATTCTCCCTAACCCTCTTCTATGTGGCTTTTTATTAACTTGTTGGATTTTATTTAATTGTTAGTCTGAGTTCTCTGGGACAGGGATTATCTTTGCACAGTGCCTCGTGTAATAAGGTCGTTACATCATGCTGCAATAGAAATAATAAATTGCTTAGAGCTTGCTGAGATGGGAGGGTTAGCTGGCAAAATAGCAAGATGGAATTCATGCATGTTCTAAGGCAGGGGTTGGCAGCCTTTGGCACGCGACCCATCAGGGAAATCTGCTGGCGGCCTGGGACAGTTTATTTACCTGCCGCGTCCGCAGGTTTGGCTGATCTCAGCTCCCACTGGCCGCGGTTCACCGTTCCAGGCCAATGGGGGCTGCAGGAAGCGGCGCAGGCAAAGGTATGTGCTGGCCACCACTTCCCACAGCCCCCATTGGCCTGGAACAGCGAACCGTGGCGAGTGGGAGCTGTGATTGGCCGAACCTGCGGACGCTGCAGGTAAATTATCCATCCTGGCCTGCCAGCGGATTTCCCTGATGATCTGCGTGCCAAAGGTGCCGATCCCTGTTCTAAGGCTAGCTGGAGAGGTACATGAAAGAGGTCAAGATAATAATTTACTATGCACCACAACCTCTCTCCAAAGTAAAACTAAAAAGCAAATGCACCCAGTTACTAACAATTTTCTACATTCCTGTCAATGAGTGGAGATGGCAGCATTACTCACACAAATGAACCTAAGAATCATTGAATCCAGCAAAGTTGGTCAATATATGCTGATAAAAACTTCCCTTATAAAACTGCTTATAATTTGAATGAAGCCAAGTTTAATAGTGAATTTGGTCCTTAGGGATAACATCAATGGGGTCGTTTACATAGAATAGCTTTGACTTTTTTCTCATCTTCTGCACAGGCACAGAATTCCTAAGGAACAGTGGTGGCTGAAACTTCGACCTCTGATGAAAATTCTGGCCAAATACAAGACTAGCTACGATGTTTCAGATTCAGGTCAACTAGAGCATGTAGCTAGGCACAGCCCAAAAGAAGCAGAAACTGGAGCCATCTAAGAAGAGACCATTATTTTAGATAAAGTTGTAATAAACCTATGTTGTGCGTAACAGTGCTTTAGCATATTGATTACAGCTTTGTTTGTAACATTTAAATTATTGTACCAGCACTTTATGTGAATTCAGAAATGCAAATGTCACACAAGTTCCTTGCCCAGTATTATCCTAGGTTTAAAGCAGACCTTAGCACCCAATTTACAAAATACCAATTACTGGCCTGATCCTTAAGTTTAACACAATTCTATGCACTCAGTGTGATAAGTCATTCATCTAGCACATTTTATCTCAGAGATAGAGTCTATACTCAGAATATATGTAGAAGGCTAGTTGTGTCAAGTTACAGAGTGAATCTATGTATCTGAAGTGGAATAAAAGTATTGTTGCAAACCACATGTGTGACTTCAAGTTATCTAAAAACTAACAAATTACAGCTAACAGGAGAACACCACTGAAGAAAGTAGGAGCAACTTTATTTGCATTCTAACAGGAAGCAAATAACTGTTCTTTCTTCGCTTGTAGAACGGCAGGAGGGATTAAGAGCAGGGTGTCTGCAGATTTTTCTGTACCGCATCTGCACAATGAAGCTGCATTAATTTGAACTACCCCCCACACCTCCCCTAGAGAGGAAGTAACACACTAAAAATTACTATTAAAGGCAATACTAAAGCTGTTAACCCTGTGAAGATGGCTGTTAACCTCCTTTGTGTGTCCTTTAGGTTATGGCTACAGGACAGCTGGGAGATGAGATTCCCAGCTCATGCTAGCTTGGCTCAAGCTAAAAATAGCAGTTTGGAATGGCTGGTGGCTCAAGCTTAACTTCATGAGCTCTATCAAGCTAAAAATAGTGTGGATGTAGCTGTTCTGGCAGAGGCTCAGGCTAGCCACCTGGGTCCAAGGCTGGCTGGCTAGCCCCAGCTGTAATGTCCACACTCTTATGTTTAGCATGCTAGCTCAAGTGAAGCAAGTCTGTCTACCCATGCTGAGAGGCTCACTCCAAGCTGCAGCATAGGCATACCCTAGAGGTCATGCTCACTAACCTCAGCTTGTTGCAGACAACAGGGCAACCCTCAATCACACCCAGGACTGAGGACTCTTTTCTGTGATCAGCTGAAACATTTGAGACCAGGTTATAACCACGATGGTTAAGGTTACGGTTGACACAGCAGTTTTTTCTCCACAACAAAATCGTGGTTGTCTCACAACATTTAGCTGTCGAACTTTAGCCAAAAGGTAAACAGAGGACAAAACAGCACCTTGAGAACTCCATTCAGTACTGGGAGGAAGAACTGGCCCAGGGTCACACAGGTTGGAGCACCATCAAAATAGTCCTGTTATGAATAAAACCATCTTTTCCCTGTCCTGTAGCTATCAATTATTAACCTTGAGTTGTAGAGAGACATGTTTTGAGCCAACATTGCCACTCTTATCATTAAAAATGTAAGTTGTAGTGTAGACAATACAATGTAACAAGAATAGTTATGGAGAAGCTGAGTCTTGCACAACTTAATTATGGAAAACTCAACACACTAGGAAAGACTTGTGAAGTACCAGTGTAGGTGTAACAAATCTGTTTATGCCCAACAGTGGAGGTTTAAAAATACAGATATTGTAAGAAAACATGATTTAAGCTAAACATATTTTAAAATTTAAGTCTTAGCTTGATTTTTACAAAACAATGTGTATATTTAGAAGTTATTAAAATCCACATTTTTGTGCGGCAGTTAATTATGGAGGAACTGAAGAGTTGCTTTAGCTATAGATGAACAAATAGTTTTCATTCTTAAATACAATGCAGTTGTAGAGATGAACCTTCTTTGGCAGACTTAATTTCTTTGAGGAAAGACAGCTGAGTGGCCTGTTGCATGTAAAGTTGTATTGATGACCTTTCACTTGGACCTTAGCAGGAAAATTAAAAATTCTAATGTGCCTTAGTCACTTATGAATTGGCTTGTTTTATTTCTTTTAAGCCATTGTCAGTAACAAACATTATCAGTGATAACAAATGTTATCGTTTGACCCAGGATGGATCTTTGGCAATGCATGGATTCTCTGGGCCTAGTACAGCCAGTCCTCGGGTGCTCTTCCCACCTGCAAGGTATCTGCAAAAGAGAGACAAAATTATGAAAAGGTACCACAAAGCTGTTGAAGTGTAAGTCACATTATACTCAGTCTGACAGCAGCCTGACACGTTCAGATGAAACCTTTCACCTATATAGTACCTTCTGAATTAAAACTCTTCCTTTCACACATCTCTTCCCATGTGTCTCAAAATGATTATATAAATATTGGAGGAGAGTATTGTGCTCCTTAGACATTACAGGAGAAAACAGATGCACAATTAATGTCAAGTATTCTCATTAGGGCTACACTGTACCAATATGCCTAGTTTTAAAACAGATTGGTTTGAGCTAGTCAATTTTTGTTTTGAAGTATCTGAAAAAAAATCTGTAAGGTATTTGTTTCTCCTTTCCCCCAAAGTTGACACAGGTCCTCATATTTTTCAGCTCTGTGCTGAACCTAAGCAACAGAAAATAGGGGCACAGATGGTCAATGTCAGTTTTATTTGACATACTCTACCACCTCTCTTGCCCATGTGAGTGGATCTCTCCATTTCTCCCAGACTGAACTCTGACTCACTTTAGCCAAGACAAAGAATAATCTGTTACTTGCTGTAACTGTGGTTCTTCGAGATCCTATGCCCTTTCATCTGTATGTTTCTCCCCAACCTCACTTGGGATAACTAACTTAATATGACAAGACTGGTGAGAACAATACAAAAGAGGTGCACACTTGGTAGCAGAGCAAAGGGCTACTCCAAAGAGCACACAGGGGCAGGATGTCACTTTCTTAAAAGGAAATAACATTCTAGCCCATTAACAGCATGAACACTAGTCAAACTGGTAAAGATGATTTACACCTCCCTGTTTAAGAGGCACTGGGCACAGCAGTCTCTTGAGATTCAATATCCCTCAATTGTAAACAAAGAACATTTAATCTTTTAAAGGGACTATATGTTTCTATGAATAAGAATGAGACAGGCAGTTAGACTGCATGGAATACAAGTTGCAGAGAGGGAGTGAGCAAACCTGAGTGAGTGAGATTCCCAAACCTAAGACGTCTTTTGTAGGTGACAAATCTGAGGAATTGTCACAGATTGAAGTGTCACTAGAGGAGGTTTTGGAATTAATGGAGAAACTTAGCAGTAACAAGTCACCGGGACCAGATGGCATTCACCCAAGAGTTCTGAAAGAACTCAAATGTGAAATTGCAGAACTATTAACTATGGTTTGTAACCTGTCCTTTAAATCAGCTACTGTACTGGAATGACTGGAAGATAGCTAATGTAATGCCAATATTTAAGAAGGGCTCTAGAGGTGATCCTGGCAATTATAGACCGGTAAGTCTAACATTAGTACTGGGCAAATTAGTTGAAACAATAGTAAAGAATAAAATTGTCAGACACACAGAAGAACAAATTGTTGTGCAAAAGTCAACACAGTTTCTGTAAAGGGAGATCACGTCTTACAAATCTATTAGAGTTCTTTGAAGGGGTCAACAAACATATCCAGTGGACATAGTGTACTTAGATTTCCAGAAAGCCTTTGACAAGGTCCCTAACCAAAGCTCTTACATAAATTAAGTTGTCATGGTATAAGAGGGAAGAACCTTTCATGGATTGAGAACTGGTTAAAAGACAGGGAACAAAGGGTAGGAATAAATGGTAAATTTTCAGAACAAGAGAGGGGTAACTAGTTGTGTTCCCCAAGGGTCAGTCCTAGGACCAATCCTATTCAACTTATTCATAAATGGTCTGGAGAACAGGGGAAACAGTGAGGTGTCAAAGTTTGCAGATGATACTAAACTGCTCAAGATAGCGAAGACCAAAGCAGACTGAAGAACTTCAAAAAGGTCTCACAAAACTAAGTGACAGGGCAACAAAATGGCAAATGAAATTTAACGTGGATAAATGTAAACAATGCACATTGGAAAAAATAACCCCAATTATAAATACAATATGATGGGGGCTAATTTAGCTACAACTAATCAGGAGAAAGATCTTGAAGTGATCATGGATAGTTCTCTGAAGACTTCCACGCAGTGTACAGCGGCAATCAAAAAAGCAAACGGGATGTTAGGAATCATTAAGAAAAGGAATAGAGAATAAGACGGAGAATTTCTTATTGCCCTTTTTAAATCCATGGTATGCCCACACCTTGAATACTGCGTACTGATGTGGTCCCCTCATCTCAAAAAAGATATAGTGGCATTAGAAAAGGTTCAAAAAAGGACAACTAAAATGATTAGTGGTTTGGAACGGGTCCCATATGAGGACAGATTAAAGAGGCTAGGACTTTTCAGCTTGGAAAAGAGAAGACTAAGGGTGGATATGATAGAGCTATATAAAATCATGAGTGGTGTGGAGAAAGTGAATATGGAAAAGTTATTTACTTGTTCCCATAATATAAGAACTAGGGGCCACCAAATGAAATTAATGGGTAGCAGGTTTAAAACAAATACAATGAAGTTCTTCACACAACACACAGTCAACCTGTGGAACTCCTTGCCTGAGGAGGTTGTGAAAGCTAGGACTATAATAGGATTTAAAAGAGAACTGGATAAATTCATGGAGGTTAAGTCCATTAATGGCTATTAGTCAGGATGGGTAAGGAATGGTGTCCCCTAACCTCTGTTTGTCAGAGGGTGGAGATGGATGGCAGGAGAGAGATCACTTGATCATTACCTGTTAGGTTCACTCCCTCTGGGGCACCTGGGATTGGCCACTGTCGGTAGACAGGATACTGGGCTGGATGGACCTTTGGTCTGACCCAGTAGGGCCATTCTTATGTTCTTATTACACAATAGTAGGAAGAAACTTCCCTGTGATACACACTCTCCCAGCAGGTATTCAGAGAAAGGTGCAAACATCTGGTACCTCTTGGAGACAAGATCCCTGTCCAGGTGGCCCATTCACCTGACATTATATATAATTCAGTATGGTTTAGCAGATGATTTTATACCAGTGGTTCTCAACCAGAGGTACATGTACCCCTGAGGGTACAAAGAGCCCTTTTAGTACATCAACTCATCTAGATATTTGCCTAGTTTTACAACAGGGTACATAAAAAGCACCAGTGAAGTCAGTAAAAACTAACGTTTCATACGAACAACTTGACTATACTGCTCTATATGCTATACACTGAAATCTAAGTACAGTATTTATATTCCAATTTATTTTATAATCTATATAGTAAAAATGAGAAAGTAAGCAATTTTTCAGTAATAGCATGCTGTGACACTTGTATTTTTAGGTCTGATTTTGTAAGTAGTTAAGTGAGGGGTAAATTGGGGGTATGCAAGACAAATCAGACTCCTGAAAGGGGTATAGTAGTCTGGAAAGGTTTTGAACCACTGATTTAGACACCTAAAAGCAGGCGAAGAATGATAGAACTGGGTCTAGAAAAGCAAATTCATCTCCAAATGGACTAAATCTGGAGCCATCTTGTTTGAGCTAAAAGAACAAACAGTTTCTGATCCAGTCAGAAGCAGAACAGCAATCTCAGCAAATTAAGAACTGCAACAGAGTTCACAAACAAATTAGAATGTTGACTAAAAAGCTAAATGGAAAATGGCGATCCTCCTTTCGCAGGCACAGTGATGATATGAATGCAGGTACAGGAAAAAAGTTACCTCAGTGGTCAGTCTTAGAAGGAGAAAAGGGATGGTGGCTTCTTTCAGGCAATGTAATAATGCAAACCTTTACCAGCTATTTTACATCAGACAGTTTTTAATCTGTCAAACTCTTACAAGGGATCTGGGTTTACTTGCATTTCTAAAATGAGCACAGACTCACTTGTTTGCCACATTGATCAGGTGATCACGGCTGACAGCAAAAAGCTGCTCCCTGTGTCTCTGCTTCATCTCATCTGAGATGCCGTTCAAGAAATAATTCATCCCTAAAAGTAAGAACGTGACTTGGTAAGTGTACTGAGTCTCTGGCATCGAAGGATAAAAATCAGATACATGCACCGAGTTCTCCAAAGTAGAATAGCTGGGAGAGGAATGAATACAGTTTGCAGCTAGTTAAGAGCTCCACAATTCTAGGCTCGTCATAAAAAGTACAGTACAAATGTCTCATTGTTAACCAGTGTCAAGGCTAGAGCTGGGCAGAGAATGGATGTTCCATTTTGTGGAGAATTTTAAAAAAATGTTTTGACAAAAATCAAAAAAGTTTTGATTTGAACTTAAATACAAAATGCAAAATTTTAACCAAAAAGCCGTTTGGAATGAGAAGATATATATATATATATATATAAATAATTTATTCCAAAAGTGTCCAAATGGGACATTTGACATTGTCCGAACTTTTCCCCTTTTTTCTCCAAATAGAATTTTGGTGAACTCAGAATGATTTCATGAAGGTTCTGATTTTAGCAACCCTGTTATCCAATGGAAAGCTGTTCTGTCAAAGTTTTGCAACCAGCTCTAGTCAATGCTGCTAAGACAAAGATCTGACCCACCTTTTTCTCTATATACGGTCTACATAATTCTGCAAACAAATGCTTCTATATACTTACAAGAAATCCTGTAACAAGAATCACTTCAGTGATCAAAGAGGTTAAAAATAATCACAGAGGGACTTCTTGACACTGCAACTTATGACCCAGTAAGGGGAACGTTAAGCAATCACCATACATTTGTGGCTCTACAGCTCCGTTCAACTCTCTCTTCTCTCCCCTTCTAGCTACTGGGAAGGATTTTAAGGGTGTTTTCTTTCCTCTCCTCTAAACTCCATCTCACTGGAGGAGCTCGTTCATTTCCTCAGTCCTCACGAACATTGCTATTTTCAGTGCTTCACTAACTTTGCCTGATACCAGTTAGAGTGTGAGCAGCTCCAGACTAACCTGTGCACTGCACAGGACTGCCAGGCAGCTCAAGCTCCAAAGGACGAGAATCATTACTCTCTGACAAGCCACCGGCATGCGACATTGAAGCATTTTGCTCACATATGAGCACCTGAAAATTGACAGTGCCTAGCCTGTTTTCATTGTTCAAGCTAACAGGCAGAAAAGCCCACGAAGGGTGGAAAAGTAAACGATTCTTGAAGTTTTTTTGTTTAACAACCTAAATGGCCTTGCTTGTGTTAACACTTTACAGACATACATTGATTTTTAATCTTAGTGTTCCTTTATTTATACTTAAGGGATGGAGTAGGTGCCTTAAATCCAAACCGAAATTTAAAGTTATCAGTGGGGAGAGCTGTTCTCTCAAACTGCAGACTATTTTGAACCGTGTTTAAAAAAAGTTCTAAAAAGAAAAGAAGCTACCATTCATCATGACATCCAAACATGCAGCTAATTTTACTAAGTTATTTACACTTAGTACTTTTCATCAAGTATCTCCAAAGCACCAAACAAATTTATGCGTTCCCCATCTCTAAAAATAGAGAAACTGAGGCAGAGAGGTTAAGCAAATTCAGGATCAGTGTACACATCTGGCTAAAACAGGTATATACTCCATACACTTTTCCAAGTATTCCATTTAACCAACAGACCTATATGGTTTTCCTATGTGCCAGAACAGGTGCAATTTTTTTAGGCTGAGAAAGACAGGTTAAAGGTTTAGTTATTTGAGTTCCCCCTATTCTCCCATGACAATATTATGATCACAAGCAGCAATAAGAACATTTCAGTGAAAAGACATTACACGTGTGATCTTTAAGGTGAGCAGTAGCATCTTGCTGTTTTATAGAAACTAATCCTTATGTTAAATCCACTGAAACCAAACATGAGCTTATGAAAGGGAATAGATGAGCAGACTAGGAATCATTCACTTCCTTCTAAGCCTAGCTAGAACACTGGATTCCCTTGCTGGGGAACTAAGAACATAGAACATACCTTTGTCTGAAGGAGCTATAGGAGTATCTACAGCTGAAAACACCGCAAGCTTGGCTTCGTCAATGTCTTGCTGTGCAAATTCCCCAGACTGAGCCCATTCAGCTGCTTTTTCAAAAGTTGAAAAGGTTGATATAGAATTTGGATCCCTAACAAATTAGAAGAAATTCCTTTTGTATTACAGATGACAACCTGTGTCTGTACAACTTTTAATACATTTGTTTTTAAACCCACTACCTTTCATTCAAAGATTCCTAATCACTCACCAAATTCTATAAACTACATCTAGACCACACACATACCATATTCGATGAAGGCAGCTGTCTTCATACAGCAGATAGAAACGCTATACAATACTTTGAGATAAGGAGTATTTTATTCAACAGAAGTTATAGCAGATTGTACGTAGGCAGAGTGGGCCAAATTCAGTACTGATGTAAATAGTTTCTAAGCTGGTCATGAAAAAGGTACAATTAAATGGAAGTGCTAACTCAGTGTAACTTGCACAGATTTAGCATTCAGCAAATGTGAAAAAAAAAAAAAATCTACAGTGATATATTATTTGGGGACCAAATTTAGTGCCTGGCATTAGAAGGTGTAACTTTCATTAGTATCAATATCAGTTATGCTTACTCCAAGGATGAATTTGGTCCTTGAGTTCTGAGCATGGTGTAGCATAAGGTGGGGTGGGCAGAGGTTACACCTTTCTGCAAAATTGCTTTTCCTGCTTACACCCATTTTGCAAACCTACGGATGTCCAAAATTGGTGAAAATTACACTATGTCGTAACTCTCACCTGCTGTGAGGCTGACAAATGCTTACAACACCACTGAATTTAGCTCAGAGCCTTCTGTAGGAGCTGTGCTAGGCTGCATGCAACCCATTATAATTATTTAATTAGTCTAAAACAGTGGGCATGTACTCCATCTCTGGTGAAGAGTCATGGAGTTAATTACCACCTGGTTTGGACCTCTGTTTCAAGTTTAAGACGAACAGCAGAAGCTTCAGTAATCATGTACCTCATAAGACCAGACAGAAACAATTGTTCAGGGCTGATATAAGGAAAAAAAGTGTAATCTAGTCAGTCACCAGCACCACTTTCTGCTGTAATCAAGTCTTCCTTGGAGGTCTCCAGCCCAATCACCCCACATGGAGTCATGTCTGGTTCTGCTACGGAGGGGAGAGGCCATGGCTTTTGGGAGAAGCCAGTTTAGATCTACATGTCAGGAACCTCACTACCTCCCTCAACTACTGTTCTTAAAATGCCTCAGTTCCCTCTCTTCATCCCCACCGCCAGGCCAGGAAGAAACGTGCTGAAGCTGGCATACAGTTGAGGCTGGTAGTAAAACTGGCACACTAGTCACCACATACACTGAGTAAGGAGGCAACAGGGTAACAGCTACCACCAAGCTGGGCTGAAGTGAAGCCTAGGATGTGAGAGGGGTTTTACTGAATCCTGGAAGGAGCAAGGAGAAGGGGAGAAAGCCAGAAGCCAAGTGACAGATCTCAGTGATGTCAGCAGTAAGCCCCTCTTTCCTCATCTCTAGCTCAAGCCTCATTTTCTTGTCCTATTCAAGTACTTACAGTCCTGGCAGGTAAAGTTAAATTGAGTCTGAAATGATGGCTGCATATGCAGAGACCATGGCTACATTTCATAGACAGACTCTACAGAGGACACACAGTGTTACCTGTAAGAATAGAAGGTGAATATGCCACTATGACTGAGTGTAGCACCTCCTCCATAAGCACCTCCTTTCTCTCTGATTTCCCTATGCAAGAATTTAGCTGTCATCAACCGTGCAAGGATCCGAAGGCTGAAACAAAAGATTAAAGCAAAGGTGTTAAATCTGCCCTCTGGCTATTGGGTATCTAATCTACCACCTCTCCACTTGACCAGAGTTTTTCAAAGATCTAAGTTATACAAATGAAGTATTCCTAATTGCACCCTACAGTAACAATGATGGTTTAAGCACAAAAATGAAAAATTTTAAATTGAGCCATCTTCAATACAAAGTCTCTTGATTTCTCCATACTAGAATAGCCCTACCACTATGCTCCCTAACTTCCCTAAATAGTTTAAATTTCATCTCTCTCCAGGAAATGTAAAGTTCTCTAAGCCACCTATTTGGTCACATATGTCATCATATACACAAAGAAACAGGATCAGGGTGTGTAGGGTTCTCCTTCAATTTGGAAGTTATAATTCAGTTGCTTTTGGTACCCAAATTCTAACAACGTGGCAAATTCTGTCATTGTAAAAAGACTTCAGCAGGAGTCATGAGCAGAAACAGTAGATTTTGATCCAATGACTCCACCCTCCCTTACAGAACTTGTTAGAACACAAGCAGGTGATATTTTCAGGCAATTATTTAAACACAAGATCAACAGCTGCGTAAAGACTGCCTTCAGAGGATTTCTCATGAGTGTGGTTCAAAAATATATGGAGGTTACTTACCTGTAAATGGAAGTTCTTTGAGATAGGTGATCCCTATGTGTATTCCACAAATTGGTGCGCATGCATGCCATGCATCCAACTCTGGAAATTCTAACAAGCAGCATCCACTGGCCCGCACATGCACAGTAGTTCATCTCATACTCCAGATCGAGGACATAAAAGGCGATGCAGGCCAATGGCTCTCCAGTTCCTCTTCTTACGAATCCAAAAAGATCCAAAGGGACAGAGGGTGGATACTGGAATATAGATTGGGACCACATACCTCAAAGAACTTCCAGTTGCAGGTAAGTACCTCCATTTCTTCAAGTGCTGGTCCCTGTGTGTATTCCACATGTGGATGACTGACAAGCAGTATCCAGACTGGAGGGGGGTACAAGGATGCTTAAACTATTGCAGTTTCCACTGCTGTGTCCGCAGCAGAGGCTTGAACTAGCATGCAATGTTTAACTCTAGCTAGCCACCCTGGACATGTCCATTGTGCACTCCATTGTGCAGTGATGTTGCAGAGGCAGCTTGCGCTCTGGTGGAAAGTGCCCTTACCCTGTCAGGTGGAAGGATGTGTGTCAATTGGTAGCACACAATGATGCACCCACAAACCCATTTAGAGATCCTCTTAGAAGATATAGTTTGTCCTCGTGAACTCTTTGTAAGAAAGAGCCTAGGAGACTTCCTGATAGCATTCTACCCGCACAGGATCAAATCTAAGGTGTGTCTGATGTCAAGGGACTGAAGCTTCCTTAACAGAGTTATGGCGTTTTTGGAAGAAAACAGGTAAGTGGATAGCTTGGTTGACATGAAATTCCAAAATAACCTTGGGGAGAAATTAAGGATTCAATCAAAGAAAGACCTTTTCTTTGTGAAAACAGTATACAGTTGGTCTGCCATGAGGGCTCCCATCTTGCCCACCCTTCTGGCTGAGGTAATAGCCACGAATAATATGACAGGTTAAACATGCTGCCAAGGGTTCAAATAGCAGCCCAGTGAGTGCTGACAGCATGAGACTGAGGTCCCTCTGAGGCGTAGATTTGATGATTAGCAGAAAGGTTCTAACTAGGCCTTTCATAAGCCTCAATGTTGTAGGGTCGATAAAGATAGAATGCCCATCTACTGCAGAAAGGATGACACTGTGTTGTTCAGGTGAACACCCTGACCCATAAGGGATGAGTCTGTTACAATGGGGACTGTGGAGGTGGGAGTGACAAAGGGAAAGCCCACTCTCTCTCAGAGACTACCTATACCTGCTGATAGTGCAGGGGTTACAATTTAAATGTACGGCCACCCCCAGAACAGCTTGAGTGATGCCCCCTCCCAGGCAGGTCTCCCCGCTTACCCTGTCTCCCTACCTGAAAAGTACCAGGCCCCTCCCTGTAGCTCCCAGCTGTTGCTCCTACCTCTCCGCACAGTGTGCAGCTCACAGCTTGCCAGCTCTGGCAGCTGCCACGCAGGGACAAGCCCTGGCCGCACCATGTGACCAAGCGGGACTGACAAACCTTGGCAGAAATCTGCGGGACACGTGACCTACATACCGTCTCACACGTCGCCTCTGCTGTCACTTCACCTGGGTTTGACCACCAAATAAGAGAGGCGATGATTCTGGTGGGAATAGTTACACTGGTGTTAATGCGATCCTTTTCAGATGAGTAGACTGAACAGAGCAAGGTTTGTAGGCAGCATATATGAAACCTGGAGGAATGGGTCACATAAGTGCATGAGGCCATGTGGCCCAGAAGAAAAAGGCACATCCTGAGCGTAGTTCTTGGTCTGTGAGTAATCTGTGCTATCAGATAACTCATTAGCTGAAATATTTCCATGAGGAGGAAAGCTCTTGCTGTAGTGGAGTCCAGTGTCACTCTGATAAAGTTTATCATCTGTGTGGGTATTAAAATGGTCCTTTCTTCATTTACACAGACTCCTACTATGAATACTTTGGGCGCGATCATCAGTCTAAACTCTGAACCGGAAATGCTCTTGCTCCACTAGAAATGAAGGAACTTTTTTGAGACGGCTGAATATCTATCTACATGGAAATAAGGATTCTTCATGTTGAGAGCCACGAACCACATTCCCTCCTGTCCTGAAATTTGACTTTTGAATAAAAATGTTCAGCTGTTGAAGGTCCAGAATGGGTATCCACCCTTCGTCTTTTTAGGGGCCTTAGAAGTAAGGGGAATAGAACCCCTTTTCCTTGACACTGAGGTGGTACTGCTCTATTGTCCCTCATAGGAGGAAGGATGCCTGGCAAAGAATCACCTTGTAATAGTGATCCTTGAAGAGGGACTTGTGTGGGGGGAGGAAGGGAGAAACTTTATGGAGTATCCTTGATGTATAATTTCTAGGACTCAGCTGTCTGTCATGATGGAATCCTAATTGTGGGTGAAAAGTATGAGGTGGCCCTCAAAGATCATGGGGGTAAGAAGTGACTGGCATCAACAGTGGTAGATGGATCTCAACTATGCATCAAAAGTAGCCCTTGGCAGGTGGCTGAGAATGGGCAGAGATCATGGTAGTAGAGGTGGCTGATAATCAAGGTCTCTGAATCCTGTCATTTACAGGGAGGCTGAGCGTTGACTGGGGAGGGGGCAGCCTTGGTTTATATCCCTGCCTCTGGTGCATTCTTCACGGGACTGGGGTGTAAACCCCCAGGGAGTGTAGAGTCATCCAAGTCTTTCTACAAGTGTAGGGATGTGCCCATTTTCTCAATGAACAAACTCAACTCATTGAAAGGCAGGTCCTGTTTGGTGTTCTGGACCCCCTTGGGAAGCTGTGAGCAGTGAAGTGAAGACTCATGCTTCATGACTATGCTTGTGGTTAAGTCTCTGGATGCAGTGTCAGCTGCATCTACCGCAGCTTGAAAGGAAGTCTTAGCCACTAATTTGCCCTCCTCTAAGAGAGTCTGAAACTGGGCTCTGTCATCAGAGGGAAGATTGTCCTTAAAATCCTATTTCACTAATGAGGCCTGATAGTTAGTGATACAGAATTGTAAGCTCATAGACGAGAAGACCGTTTTCCCCATAAGGTCCGATCTCTTTGAGCCCTGTCAGCCTGTGTGGTCTTGGGATGCTGTGACTTTGCTCTCTCTAGGGCTACAAGGGAGTTGTGCGCCGGGTGGGAGAAGAGAAATTTAGCCTCTCTGGCAGGGACATAATAGCATCTCTCAGCCCTCTTAGATGTGGGGATGTATGAGTTTGGAGTGTGCCAGACTACTCTGGCTGGCTCCATGACTGCCTTGTTGATCAGGAGCGCCACCTTGCTTTGACCAGATGCTGGGAATTCTGGACCTCCTCAAGTGTGTCTGGAGGTCACTGGCAATTGTATGAAATAGCTCCTGGTATTGCCTAGTCATTCAGTGGAGATAGTGAGGATCGAGTGACGGCTTCATCTGGGAGACAAAAATGAGTTTCCCGTCGATAACTGCACATCCGGGCCTATGTCCTCCTTCTCGTACTCCAACGGATCCAGTGGTGCCACGTAGGAGAGTTGTTGCAGGATTTGTGGACAGATCCAGGGCATCTTCCACAGGGATGCCAGGGCCCCCAATAAGGAAGGATCAACTGCACTTGGTGTGAAGCCCATGGCATTGTGTACCAGTGATCCCTAGGGAAGTCAGAACTGGGAGGATGGAGCTCAGATCTCCTTGACTGTCTATCGTGGCTCAGCTCTCTACAAGGAGATGACAGAACAGCAAGAGCGTCCTATCTATCCAAGTCTGACAACTGCTCTCACTTCACTGGTGGAACCAACAATACCGGAGGGTTGGAGAAGGGATGGCTCCAGTGACAAAAAAACATAGCTTTGTCCTCTACTGTGGCAACGTCCCTCATAAGCACCAGGCCAGAGAAGAGAAAAGACTGAGCATGAGAGAGGAATATATCCTCCTGTGTAGTATAGAAGTGTCCATAAGACTTAGTGCTCGAAGCATTCCAACAGTCAGCACTGATGGTTCCGACTCGTCCCAGGGAGTTGTAGCCAGGTGGTCCTGAGGAGGATGGGACAGTACTGAGGAAGAAGTAGGCCCAGCACTTCTGGATTGAGCCAGTGGGTGTCAGTCCTTGCGTTTTGGAACTGGAGCTACCAGTGGTACCAACGGCTCCTTTTTCCATACTTTACCCATCAATCTGTGGGTCTTTGGTGATCCTGGACCCATCAGATTCGCACGCAAATGCTCACCCAGCCTGGATGGGCTCGGGAAGGATTCCTTCCCTTCACAGGCAGATCCGGAAGGGCATCTGTCCTTACGAGCATAAGAGAGTGTTCCTCAGCCCTGGTCTACACCGGGCGGGAAATCGATCTAAGTTACGCAACTTCAGCTATGTGAATAATATAGCTGAAGTCAACATACTTAGACCTACTCACCGTGGTGTCTTCACTATGGTGAGTAGACGGCTGCCGCTGCCCCGTCAACTCTGCCTGCACCTCTTGCGGCGGTGCAATACAGGAAGCAATGGGAGAGTGCTCGGGGGGGTTGATTTATCGCTCTAGACTAGATGTGATAAAATCGATCCCCGCTGGATCAGTCGCTGCCTGCCAATACGGCAGGTAGTGCAGACATACCCGTAGTCTCATGGAGAACCCAGGAAGAAGAGTACTTGAGCTAAGCAGCTGTAGATTCCACTCTTAAGCTCGTGGTCGGAGGGGTGTTGCTCATCTGATGGGGCAAATGTACGGCAGGGGGGTCTCCCTGGCCTGGATCAGAGAAAGGCCTCAGCCTTCTCCATAAGGTGTTTTCTTAATCAAAGTTCACAAGCTTTGCAAGTTTGCAGCAGAAAAGCGTGACAGATGCTGCACTTTGCAGCAATACAGGTTTCATCCAAACAACAGAGACAGGGTTGATGATTGTCATTCATGGAAAAGGAGCAAGGGCAGGGGAGATGGTTCTTGAACCCTAGGACTTTAAAGCACAGTCCCAGACCACAGGGAGGAAGTCCCCGGTATTGGAGGGGGGGGAACCTTACCTATACTAATAACTAACTATGCTAATATAAACTATACCCTGTTTAGAAATGTATTTACAGAGTATAAGGATAAAAGCTGGAGAAATATGTGGACACAGGGATTCCAACTCAGGCCATGAGGCAGTAAGAAGGAACTGGAGAGGTGTTGACCCACACTATCTGTTATTCCTGGGTCTGGCGCACAAGGTGAACTTCTGTGCATGTGTGGGCCAACGGACACTGCTTGTTAGAATTTCTGGACTCGGAAGCTTGGCGTGCATGCGCACCTACATGTGGAATACACAGAGACCAGCACCTAAAGAAGAATTTCTGCATACATCCTGGTTAATGGTTTTCAGTCTAAAACGAGGTCAGTTTTATTTTTATACACTGTGTTTCACTGCTGATCCTTTCTGTTTCCCACCTTGCATAATCAGGAGCTGTGTAGGGAACAGTTCGAATGCATTCTCCAACATAATTCACTGGGAAGGAAAGTAGAAAATGGGTCTTCATCTGACATGGTTTGAAAGTGGGCTCCTGAGAGAAAATTGCATCTGGGTTGATTAACATTGCAGTTAGAGATTTTAAGTAGCTACAACAATCCATTCATTTGAGAATATTAGCACCATTGCATACTTCTTAAGAAGAGCCTGACACTCTCAAACACCAGCACGCAAGCATTCAACCTAGCACGGGTTATTCTGTTAAAAAATGATGAAATTGTGCGCATACCCCTTGTAATAAATCATACATACTGAAATTGTCTTGGTCTACTACAGCAGAGGGATGTTGTACAAATACTACCTCATCATCACACTGCACATTCTCAGTTATGCAATCCCTGTACCTTACTGATTTGCATAACCCAACCCTCTCCTCTCTGCAACGCCTTCAGAACAAACCATTCAACGCACATAACTCCTGATATTCAAATACCACAAAAATGAAATAAATAAATTACTCTTAGTAATCAAGGGTGGGGTAGGATGGGTCAGATTTCATGGCCGTAGGCCTAGGAAGTTCCAAGGACAGTATCCAATGACAGTGCAAGATGAGAAAGCACAACATATTTCAGTTAAGCATGAGTAACTGGAGAGAGTACTGTTCATTGGAATAACTATAAAAAGGGCCAATTAGATCAGTAATATGATTAACCAAAGTCAAATAAACTGTACTTACAGTAATTAGTTTTCTTGTGATTTGTGAACAATTAAGCCTTTCCCTTCCAATAGGCACGGGCTCTGGAGATTTCTACAAATATAGGACTTTGTATTAGAGTTTCAAAAGTCAGAATAAGGAATATTACAAAAAGTCCCCAGATTTTTCCCCGGAGGGTCATGCATCACCTTTTGCCCTCCTTCCCCTACAAACAACAAAAACATCAAGGGAATTTGATTACTTGTTTCTACTTGCATTTATGAGGAAACACTAAAATGGACTTCATCCCATGGGTAACCTGGCAAAAAGCTGTGCCATATGATAACCTGAAGTTCCTAAGGGCTGTATTGCCAGGCTTTAGACAATGACTTTGGGCTTCTTAAATCCATCTATCGTGCACTAGCCCAAGAGGTTTGCACAAGTTACGGTACTCCTCCTTGGACACAGTCCTTAAAGCTTATTTCCGTTGTCTTATATGGTCCATGCTTATAGATCAGAATTTGCTCCATCTGAGTGTGAACGCCACTGAGCACACAGAATACTTCCCTAGATGTCCTAGCCCAGGAATGAGTTATTCTACAGCTGAATGACTGTTTGGAGCTGCACAGCACAAGAGATTTCTCTCTGCAATACATCTTAAATGGCGCTCAGCTAAAGAGAAGTGACAGGACTTACGCGATGGGAGGAAAAAACATCCCTCCTCCCCAACACCTGAAACAGCAATCAGGGTGTGGGATACAAGTCCCAGTAGTTGAAATCAGAAGTTCAACCCCCACCTAATCAACCAAGAGGAGTCCTTCCACTGAAGCCACACAAAGGTTTATACATTCTCCTAGAGATGTGCCCAAATAAGAAAGCTGAGATGTTCAGGGACAGAAGGAAGCATATTTTTCATTAGTTGTGTGAGAAGCTACTGTATTAGATTTTCCCTAAGATCTCCATCCACCCCTTAAATAGATAAATAGTTTGTAGCCCAGCAGATATTTACATTAGATGACATTATAAACTATTTTCATTATCACTGAGTTGAATAACTAAACAGTAAAAAGTGCACAATAGCTGGGCAAACAGTTTGAAGGTCACATTGCATACCGAAGGAACTGATTTCTCTTTGAGACGTCACAAGCCTCTTTGTATGGACAGGATGTGTATAAGTTCACCAAACCATTTGCCTTCCATTTGAGCAGCCTTAGTCTGTCTGCTATTAATCTTACTCAGTATAGTAATTCAAAAATAGTGGTTAACAAAAAATTTTACTCACAAATCAGATTTTTTTGCTTACCTCAATCACATAGGGGCGGACAGGTTTTCTCTCTTTTTTGCTTCTAGCGATGCCCTTTAAAAAGTTTTCTACTTCTTTAGATGCTTGTGACATCTGTTGAGGTGTAGCATTCACTGAACATCTGTTTAAAAAAAAACACACCTCACACATAGTAGCATGTTTCTTGCAGTTTTATAACCTTTTAGGTTTCAACTATTTCCCATCCTTGTACACGTTTTTTTTTAAAGCATCATCCAAATCTCACAAAATCTCTGTGCCAGTGACCCTGATGATAAACACAAATTACAGCTGTAAATAAGGAAAGCATTGACAATTATGACTGCAATATACCACCAGCGCTCTGTCATGAGAAAATCCCATTGGATTCTCATTGCTTTCCCCAAGACAATGAATCAAAACTTGTTCAACAGCATCAGACTTAGCACTCTACAGTAGTTGACAACCTGGCATTCCTGCCCTGAAGAGACAGATAAACTATGTTTAAGCTGTAAAAGGCAATCTCTCCACGCCACTATTACCAATTCTTTCTTTACAACTATTTCTCACCATAGATTCTTGCATTTAATAAAAAAAAACTGCACATAGGTTATTTCCCTGCCCCCAAATCAAGGTACAATATCCTGCAAACTAAAAAAATTCAGAATAAGTTTAGTACTTCAGTAGCAACTTTTGAAATTACAGTGCCTGAGTGCAAACATTTTGACTTTAGCATTTCACTTATCTTTCTTAATATTGCAAAAAATGCAAAGTGGATTCCAAGACCTCACTATTTCCCCTTAGAAGTAGACATGCCAAACCTGCTAAACCCCCCACCCCACACACAAAAACAGAAATTGGGCTTGTTTTGGTCCTAATTGGCTTGTGAGTTGCTTGTTGGGCTTGTAGCTTGTTGCTTCTTTTTTTTTGATCGGCTTCCAGCAAGCAAGAGCAAGGGGGGAGAGAGAGTCAGAGGTGCACAGTCGGCCCACCAGTCTCAAAACACATGACAGGCGCAGGAAGGGGAGGGATCTAGTCACAGAGATTTGGGGTTCCTAGGGATTGTCTTACTTTAGTCTTGTTTTGAAATGGGTTTAGTTTGATTTTTGGCTTATTGTGAAAGTCAGGGTGCTTATTTACCGCATGAAAGTTGGCAAATGTGCTTAGAAGCAGGAACTTCTCCAACCTGCATTGCATGAGTTTAAGGATAACAGTCAATGAAAAATCTTAACAACAGTAAAGGAACATTAACAGGTTCTCACCTCATGTTATCACTGTTTAATAAATATTTCTTAATGCGTGGTAGTTTGCGTAGTACTGGTTTAATATCAGACATTTCTGCAATTCGCTTAATCAGTTTCACCTGAAAAGGAGGAAAGAAATAATCAGCAAATGTGACGTATACATTAGCATAAATAAGCACAGCATTATAAGAGAGTTTGACATCAGTTAAATGAACCACCTCCCCTTTACCTGATCCATGCCATTAAACATTTCTTGTAACTCTCCAGCAGGCGTAAGGGTTTTGCTAGCTCGAACAGATGCATATAAATGCCCAGAATCAGGAATGCCATTTGACAGCTCTTGTGCAGTCATCTTAACCAGTACCCTAAAATGTTCCTCTTCTTCAAAGTGTGGGCTATATCGGAAAGGGAGAAAACAACAGTCACTTGCTACAATAGTACAAATTCATTAAACAAAACAAAAAAGACAAAGGAACTACGGAGAAAAATGCAAGAATTCTCCAGATCTCATGCAGAAATGTTCTAGTCTACTTTAAAGTATTAAATGGTTCATTGTGACAAATTCTAAAAATAGCCTTTACCCATTCAGCTGATTAATGCATTATATGGTTTGTATAGAGAGCAGAATATTTTGATTTAGAGCATGCTGAAATTAAGTTATGCAAAACCAGAACTGCTCCAGAAAAACAAAGTAGGAACTTTTTTTTTTCTTTTTTTTTGGGGGGGCAAAGGGGAGGGAGAGAGAGCGGAAGGTAGAAAAGGACCAAAAACACAAAAAAACCAATACACTACTTGTTAAAGATTTCACTCCATAAGTGCATCATGTCTGGCAGATTTCTATCCAGGCACAGAGAAGAAAAAAGCACACCCTAAAGGAAAAATGAAGATACTTCACACACAGGATAAACCAATAGAAGACAACTGAAATAAAGGCTGCAGAAACACGCGGTAGCATTTTATGAAAGTGATTATCCAATTTCAGCGTAATGGCCTACATCACAGAACTACAACCAGATTTACACTTTATTCAAGAGAGACCCACTGCTAAAACTTCAGGGCAGACAAGAGGCGTAGTTACATAGCTCTACATGAATGGTACCTTCCCTACAATGGGGTAAACCCTACCCCATGTGCCAGTAAGAGCCAGCTTCTGTGCCTCTATGTCAGCTCATCACATCCAGATGGTAGTTAAATGTGGTGTAGAAGGAAGGCAGTGAGACTCTAGATCAAAAAAAGCTGTTCAGGGGATGGAGAGCTCCTGCAAATGAGTCTCTAATCTAATCCCCTAAAGAACCCTTCAGATATACTGGTTCCCCTCTCTCCATACACTGTGGGCAGTAACTACTGCACAGCAGTTACAATAGGAGAAGAGGACCACAACAGGTCAACATTAAGAAAAATTAAGAGTCTTAATTGGGTTGAGTGGGGAAGTCTTAACAAATCTGACCCCCCTAATGAGCTTGAATACGTTGAATATTTGTTAACTATCAATATCAATGTCTATCTTTAAAGATTTTCAAAATTTTTATCCATTTCAATTGTCACAATGAGAGATATCATGGGGGAGATCAGACAATTATTTAATGACAGTAAATGCTGAGAATCAAATTGTTAAAACTTTAACCATTGTAACACAAATTGTGAACATCACACATCAAAATATAAAGTCAATAACCTTATATCAAACACTAATAAATTCTCAATCAACATTTTTCTTACTTTGCCTATTTGTAAATTTCTATTATCATCAATGAAAATATATTTTGGTCTGTGTGTGTATGGTGAAATCAATGCTTTCTGACAAAAATCTAAGCTTTCATGTTTATACATATATTAAAAAGTCCTACACTTATTGTGCCATGCCCCTTTGTCACAGAAGAATTGAAACAGGAAAACATCTTTTGTTCTTAGTTTTTTTTTTTTTTTTTACACTACTTGGATACTGTGGTGAGAGAGGTTATAAAAAACAATCTGAAGATAAAGAGTCATGTAAAACGTTACCTTTGGGATAAAGGTAAGTTACGGTGATAGTGAAATTTATATGTTACATAAGCCAACAAAAGCCCACTTCTACACCAATTTTCAGCCCACCATGTTTTGAAATCATTGAAGTGTTCAACATTAAGTGCCTGCTTTATGGAGAAATTTTGCTCCACCCTTAACTACAGTGCTGTCAGTGTAACATAACAGCATATATACTGTTATGATGTACCTGTTCATACGCATCCAGATGCGAATCATCTGGAACGATGTGTGGGCTGACAGACATGCCACCTGTTTTTAGCTCCATTTGCTGGGCTTGCTCTCTGTAACCAAGCGCTCCGCAGCCCATTCTGAAGGGGGAAAAAAAGTAGCGTTTTATTTCCACATACAGTAAAACCAGAAACAATCCAATTTGTCCAATACAAATACACAAGATACCTTAAAAGGGTAAGGTTACGTAATCTGAGGCTATCATCAAATACATGTTTTTTTAAATTAAAGACACTAGGTTTTTGTTGTTTTTTTTTTAATGTCAGCAAATACCCAATATATGCTATTAAACAAAGAAAAAAATTAGAATACAAGAAGAGAATTAAAAATGTATTTGATAAATCAAGCGGTTTACAAGCTTACTGGCTAACTGTCTCAGACCCTCTCCCATAATCAAAATTATTTGTACTATTGAAACATCACTGATATTACACAAAACAGAGGTAAGATAGAAAGTAATTGTTCTAGGAATTGTTCACTATCAATATTTCCATGTATTGTAACACATCATATCATCCTCAACTTCAAATACGCTAATTATCTTACTTAGTAATGACCCTGCAGAAGAGTGGCACGTATGGTTTGAGCTCCTCTGGAAGTGTATTCAAGCTGGAAACAGCTCTGAAATATACCATCCCATTGGTTGGCTGAGAACAGTATTGGACAGGGATTTCATCAGCTATGAACAAGAGAAAAACATTGCAGTCTGCATCCCTCACTTTGAACACATCGTAACTATGACATTTGCCAAAAGTACTTTAGACTAGTTATTTTTGACACTACAAAGGTAATAGGAAGCCACTTCCTGTTTTAACTGAAGGTATTATGATGAGTCCTGGACTGAATCATGAGTTTTCTAGGCCAGTATATAGTTATACTCAATAGGAATCACCTTCCAAATTACCAGATTGAGAAAGATCATTAAATATTTAAATTTTAGAGTCAGAGAAGGACAAGATAGGTGTGGTATCTTTTTATTGGACCAATAAACTACTGTTGGTGAGAGAGAAGAACCTTTTGAGTTACAGCGCTCTTCTTCAGGTCTGTGTAACTCAAAAGCTTGTCTCTCCCACCAAACAGAAGTTGGTCCAATAAAAGATATTACCTCACCCACCTTGTCTCTCTAATAGCCTGGGACTGACACGACTACAACAACACTGCATAGAAGGATAAGAGAAAGCCGTCAAACAACTGAAACGCAAACTGTTTTTGAAAACTGCACTAAGGAACCCTTTGTCCCTTTTTCCCCTTGACCCCATCATCTCCAAAGAATAGCTGTGATTGTAAACAAAACCAGTGGAAAACCCAAATATATTGTGGTTATTGATGCGTAGACAACAGCCTTGCTGACCTGTGGGAAAGGAAGGAGGGTATTGTTTGGAGGAGTACAGGAGAAAAAGGGGGAAGGAGAAAAAGGAAACAAAGCAATTTTCAGCCCCATTTTCTTTGCTTTATTTTCCTCCCCCGTTTTAAGTAAATTGGGGGGAGGGGTTGCTTGTGCTGAAATGAGAAAGAAGCAGAGGTGGCATAGAGGTGACAATAGAGCAATGTGTACACAAAGAAGTACGCTTACTAAGGAACACTATATAGCACAATTGCATAAGTCAATATCTATCAAAACTCAGGGAACAGCATGACTGAGACAAACCCAAACATTTATGAACTCTGATGGCCTGAAGTAACTCAATTTTTGCATCAAACTTTCCGACTGCCTTTAATAGTCAGAAGCTCTCACATGCTCCTCTGGGACCAGAATTTGATCCTTCAACATTTTTTTAGAGGCAGAGGTGCTCTATTATGCTGCTCTAGTTATAAAGGTGTTTTCTAATTATTATGTGTTACCACAACAATGTATGTTGACTAAATTATGCATTAGTCTCAATTATGACATTTAAATTTTGAAAGAAATACCTTTCCATTTCTCACCAGAGAAACAGCTGCTTTTTGGAATTCTGCCCAGTGGTGATATTTAGTGGATAGCCATTGTAATTTTTACATTCTGTACAGGTTCCTGTAATAACTGGGAGATTATATTCACTTGCTAGCAAGTGGCAACAAAAGAACAGCTGTTCAGTATACACCTATTAGTTTTTCCTCTTTTCAAATTTAGTGATTTCAGTCTGATGGATAATGTTTCTTACCACTTTTAGTTGCTAAAGCAGCAGATTCTGTTCTATAGCCTACACTAACAGATGACAAATCCAGGCAATTTGGGAATCTGAGATAAATGTACTTCCAGTTCATTTCGACTGCTGCTGTCAAAGGCTGCTGTTTTGCAGAAAATCTCCCACTGAAAATTTTGTACAACCCAATAATACTTTCAGGATTTTGCTAAAATTAATCTTTTTATAATTAATACAAGTAATCTACAATTACTTGTTCTCCCTTGATTTAGGGGTATGGAATAAAAGCCTCAGTTCGAACCAAGTCCCTGACTCCCTCAGGAAACCGATGGGCAAGATCCCCTGGGAGAATAACATGAGGGGGAAAGGAGTCCAGGAGAGCTGGCTGTATTTTAAAGAATCCTTATTGAGGTTACATGGACAAACCATCCCGATGTGTAGAAAGAAGAGTAAATATGGTAGGCGACCAGCTTGGCTTAACAGTGAAATCCTTGCTGATCTTAAACTACAAAAAAGAGGCTTACAAGAAGTGGAAGATTGGACAAATGACCAGGGATGAGTATATAAATATTGCTTGGGCATGTAGGAACGGAATCAGGAAGGCTAAATCACACCTGGAGTTGCAGCTAGCGAGGGATGTTCAGAGTAACAAGAAGGGTTTCTTCAGGTATGTTGGCAATAAGAAGAAAGCCAAGGAAAGTGTGGGCACCTTACTAAATGAGGGAGGCAACCTAGTGACAGAGGATGTGGAAAAAGCTAATGTACCCAACGCTTTTTTTGCCTCTGTCTTCACGAACAAGGTCAGCTCCCAGACTACTGCACTGGGCAGCACAGCATGGGGAGGAGGTGACCAGCCCTCTGTGGAGAAAGAAGTAGTTCGGGATTATTCAGAAAAGCTGGACAAGCACAAGTCCTTGGGGCCGGATGCGTTGCATGCGAGAGTGCTAAAGGAGTTGGCGGCTGTGATTGCAGAGCCATTGGCCATTATCTTTAAAAACTCATGGCGATCGGGGGAAGTCCCGGAAGACTGGAAAAAGGCTAATGTAGTGCCCATCTTTAAAAAAGGGAAGGAGGAGGATCCTGGGAACTACAGGCCGGTCAGCCTCACCTCAATCCCCGGAAAAATCATGGAGCATGTCCTCAAGGAATCAATTCTGAAGCACTTAGACGAGAGGAAAGTGATCAGGAACAGTCAGCATGGATTCACCAAGGGAAAGGCATGCCTGACCAATCTAATTGCCTTCTATGATGAGATAACTGGTTCTGTGGATTAAGGGAAAGCAGTGGATGTGTTATTCCTCGACTTTAGCAAAGCTTTTGACACGGTCTCCCACAGTATTCTTGTCAGCAAGTTAAAGAAGTATGGGCTGGATGGATGCACCACAAGGTGGGTAGAAAGTTGGCTAGATTGTCAGGCTCAACGGGTAGTGATCAATGGCTCTATGTCTAGTTGGCAGCCGGTATCTAGCGGAGTGCCCCAAGGGTCGGTCCTGGGGCCGGTTTTGTTCAATATCTTCATTAATGATCTGGAGAATGGTGTGGATTGCACCCTCAGCAAGTTTGCGGATAACACTAAACTGGGAGGAAAGGTAGATACGCTGGAGGGTAGGGATAGGATACAGAGGGACCTAGACAAATTGGAGGATTGGGCCAAAAGAAATCTGATAAGGTTCAACAAGGACAAGTGCAGAGTCCTGCACTTAGGATGGAAGAATCCAATGCACCACTACAGATTAGGGACTGAATGGCTCGGCAGCAGTTCTGCAGAGAAGGACCCAGGGGTGACAGTGGACGAGAAGCTGGATATGAGTCAACAGTGTGCCCTTGTTGCCAAGAAGACCAATGGCATTTTGGGCTGTAGAAGTAGGGGCATTGCCAGCAGATCATTCCCCTCTATTCAACATTGGTGAGGCCTCATCTGGAGTACTGTGTCCAGTTTTGGGCCCCACACTACTAGAAGGATGTGGAGAAATTGGAAAACATCCAGAGGAGGGCAACAAAAATGATTAGGGGACTGGAACACATGACTTATGAGGAGAGGCTGAGGGAACTGGGATTGTTTAGTCTACGGAAGAGAAGAATGAGGGGGGATTTGATAGCTGCTTTTAACTACCTGAAAGGTGGATCCAAAGAGGATGGATCTAGACTATTCTCAGTGATAGCAGATGACAGGACAAGGAGTAATGGTCTCAAGTTGCAGTGGGGGAGGTTTAGGTTGGATATTAGGAAAAACTTTTTCACTAGGAGGGTGGTGAAACACTGGAATGCGTTACCTAGGGAGGTGGTGGAATCCCCTTCCTTAGGGGTTTTTAAGGTCAGGCTTGACAAAGCCCTGGCTGGGATGATTTAGTTGGGATTGGTCCTGCTCTGGGCAGGGGTTTGGACTAGATGGCCTCCAGAGGTCCCTTCCAACTCTGTTATTCTATGATTCAATATATTGCCATATATATGAAGCCTTTTGATTTCCCATTCATTCTACTTCTCAAAGTAAAATGTCAGCAAATTAAGCTGTTTCTTCATTTTATAAAAGATTTAAGTTCACTAACCTGCAAATGTCATCTCCAGCTCAGTGAATGGGATTGTGGGCTCAATATCAGATACTTTTAGAGCTGGGAGACAGGAGGTATCCTGAGGTTTGCTTTGAAGAGCAATTAATTCCAAACCTAATAAAAGCAGAATACTAAGATTAATGCTTAAAGGTTTCCAATAAAAACTATCAAAACCCAGTGAAATTATGTAGCTAAGGAAAAAAAAAAAAACAAACACATTTCTGTGACAGATAAGAGTGATACTTCCCATTCCCAACAGCTCCCGCAAACTATTATAATCACTGTATTTTATTGAAATGCACATCAGAGGGCATCATAGAAAATCCATCATCATCCTAACAGAATGAAGTGTTTCTATCTCCACCCTTTAGGATAGCTCATGATCCAGAGATTAAAATATTTAACAGACACCTACCAGCCAGATGTCAAAGACCTCCCGCTAACAGCAAACTCCAGGGACGACAACACAGCTTTCAGGTGAAAAAGGTCAGTATCCACCTGGAATTCTTACCAGAGTGCTCTCTCTGGACCTTGCTACATGTTGGTTGGCTAAACCTGTTAGTCTGTTTGAAAACCTCAACCTCTATATCTGCCTCTGGCTAGTGGTTGCTTTAAAAAACCTCAAGTTCACCTTATAATGTAGGCGATCTCACCTAGCTGCTAGAAAGCTGCTCTCCCTTTCCCAAGCCCAGAACCTCCAGGCTACTCTGATGTAGTATCTCAGCTTCTCTACTCTTCTAGATTTTGTTTCTTTTTTCGTCAGTGAATACTTTATAGTCTGCCCTACTGCTGATGTTTATAGCTTTCCCAAGCACCAAGGCGTGTAACTGACATGATGTTTGTATGTTTCACAATTGCACACAGATTCCAAGTCCTGTTAATTTCATTTAGGAGCTGCTTGAGTAAGCTACAATGTTAGAGAGACCACAATCTGCAGCCTGAAAAAGACATCATTGTATCAGTTCACATTCAGCCTAGAATAATAAAGAAAGCTCAAACTTTTCGGAAGTGCTATATAGGTCTTCTCAGTTGGTCATACAAATTTCCCTCACAACAGTGATGGAACTGATGATACATGTCTGCTGTCCTGAGAGCAAGTTCACTATATGTTTCTAGTATTAGCAGGTTAATGTTAAAAAGAACATTGCCTCCCCCCTCTCCTACAAGGCTCTGATCAATTTCTTCATGTGAAGAGTACTCTAGATAGTTTTCAGAATAACAGCCCTGTTAGTCTGTATTCGCAAAAAGAAAAGGAGTACTTGTGGCACCTTAGAGACTAACCAATTTATTTGAGCATAAGCTTTCAAGAGCTACAGCTCACTTCATCGGATGCATACCTCTAGATAGTGGAATCTATTGGTGATGTCTTTAACCGTACAGTTGTCTTTTACATGCACATTTGAGCACACAGATTATTTAAAAAAAACAAAAACAAAAAACCCACACACACACACCAGTAAAATCTTCCACTTTCAAAACAAATGCTGATGGACTTTTGGTGTATATATATATATATATATATAAAAGAACTATAAATATTCTGTTAGTGACAAATAAAATAGCTGATTGTCATTTTTTTAAACCGTTATCAGAACTAAAAAAGCATTACAAGATGCTAACCTTTTTCATACGTTTGTTTCTTCTCTTCTTCAGAAAGAGCATTAACTTTTTGTTTCAGTTTTTCGGCTTCCAATTTTGCTTGTTTTTCATAGTAGCTTTCATCTGGACTCATCGACAGAGTCAATCTATGTGGATTATCCTGTACAAATACATTCCCATAACAAAATATTAGGTTTAAGGACTGTTTCTTCCTCCCTTTCATCTTTAGATCCCTAGATTATTGCCATCACCAAGCAGACATATGCCGAATGCATATTATTTTGCTTGCATATCATTTGAAGCCACTTAAGGTCTCATTATTTCTTTCAGTTAAAATCCTACCCTTTGATACATTAATAAATAAGGGGTAGAAAAGGATGCACATAGCCACAAGCATGAGCACAAGCATCCCTCTGTGACACTTGAGCAGCCAGCATCCTTCAATGACATATTGGTCACTGGTCTAATTAAATCAATATAAAATACACCAGTGTAACTTTCTCACATAGACAAGGTCACAGACATGAATGTCCTAGAAAATAACCTAATTAACGTGCTAGGATAGTTAGAGCAGCCTAATTAGACCCTTTCCCCAGGCACTTCCCACTGTCTACCTAAGAGCAAGAGCTCAGACTCCACGTGAAACGGAGCTCCAAGCCACAAAGAGGGTAGATGCATCCTATACAGCCACCTGAAATCCTGCCTCAGAGGTGTAATGAATAACCCCAGTTCTCCAGCCAGGGAGCCCACCTGCAGTGTGCAAATTTTATAATTGCTATTAAATTCTTTGTTTTCTACTCTGAAGCGGGGAGCTGATATATTTACTGTGAATTTTAACCTTACAACTCAAATAGTTTCTATTTTATATAATATTGGGGAGGCTAGTAAAAGGACACAGTGAACATGAAAACCGTCCATTTAAAATATTAGTTTAAAAAGGTCAAGATACACTTGCTTCTGGGGAAGCAGCCCAAACCATTTCCTCAGAGACAAAAGGCAAACTGATATTTCAGCAGGTGTCAACAAAACTGAATGGACTATCACCTTTAGCCTCATCTCTACTTATGGCATCAGCACCGTTTGAAAGACAAAAGATGCATCATTGAACTGGGAGAAATCCAGCCAGACTGCTGTAAGCATATGGTGAGAGCCTGTGTTTTGCCTTTTATTTCTCTGTAACCAATTCTGACTTTTATGCCTTATTAATTGTAATCACTTAAAATCTATCTTTCAGTAGTTATTGTTTTATCTAAATCAGTGTGTGTTTGGATTGAAGTGCTTGGGAAACTTCATTTGGGACAAGATCTGTGCACATCATTTTCTATTAATGAAATGACAGATTTTCTATGAGCTTGCACTACACAGAAGGAAATAGCAGGGCAGTACAAGACGCACATTTCTGTGGACAAGTATTGGACTGGGAATTTGCTAGTGTCATTCTGCAATACAATTCAGGAATGGCTGGCTAGGAGCACTCATAACTTAGATGGGAATAATTTACATGCTAGAGGCTGTGTGTGAGCAAGGCCAGGAGTGATTGCTCTCACAGCAAAGCAGTGTAAAAGGCTCCCCAGGGCACAGCTGTTCAGCAGGCCAGACTGTACGCTGGGCAATGTCACACTTACATTTTGCCCAGAGAGTTCATGTACGCACTTTAGTTGGACATTTGGCAAAAATGGGCAGTAGCTTCATTTTTGAAAGGTTTAAGGTGTATATGATGAATGGACTGCATCTGTTAATGCTGACATTTAATCTACCTGTAATACTGGGTTTTATAATTAGGAAAAAAATCAAGAGGCCTAAAGCTAGTACTATTGTCACAGGCTCAAACAGTGTGATATAGAAATTAGTATTAAAAGAGCTTTTTCTTTAGTCTCTTACCTTAAAATACTGTTTAACTTTTTCTTGAAGAAATGTTGGGCTGTCCTTGAGGTGCTGCCTGAACTGAGTCACTTTGTCTGAAATCTTCAAAAGTTCCACAGGGTCTCCTTCATGATTCCAGCAGGAGGCTATGTACTTGAATGACAAGAAATTAGATAAACATGACATTTAACTGAATACACAGGCATTTCATGGATTGGTATTCATATTCCATAACACACACATTACCAGTCCTGTTTATATATGTATAGCAGACAAGCAACATGCAACACTTCAGTAATACCGCCATTTGATATGTACATAAGGTAAAAGTGACAATATTGTTTGTTAAGAGAGACATCAGAGGTTAATTCCCTCCCTCCCCCTCAAAAAAAGTTAACTTGGCAGGCTCCCAATTTTCTAAGTTTTCACCTTAAGGAGTCTTTTCACATTTCTCCCCCTTAGCCCAGATCTCACCCATCCCCTTACTTTTGAGAATACACAAATATTCAGTCCAACTTGGAGGAAGGGCATGAAAAAAGTAAAATTGAACCAGAACTTCCAAGAGAGATCAGATTCTACAGTCAGTTACACATTTGTATGAGTTTTTCAGCCTAAAGAGAAAACTGTGTTTTTACATAACTCTGTTATGCGTTTAAATGGGACCACTGTTAACATAGATAAGATTTTATAAGCAGAAGTCTGCTGAGCCTTTTTGTTTTGGAGGTTTTGTTTTCGTTGTTAGGACTTGTGGTATGGGAGAAGTTATTAATTTTAAAATTTGTGAAACTACTATTGAAAGTTGATCAACACACTATACAAGAACCTGAACTGAAGAGATTGATAGTTTCTGTTCAGTAGAAGAAACACATTGGGGATGGGGTGGGGGAGAGAGACTTGAAATAAAGTATATTACAAAGCAAATTTTAAATAAATGAAGAAAAATTGTTCTTGAACTGCATTTATCAAAATTATGTTTTCTACAGTTCTCCATTCTCATTTACTGAATATATATTTATACACACACGTGTCCTAAGCATATAACATCTGTCAAAACTCTAAAAAATATTTAAGAATTCCGTGGGAACTTTCTGTTGCAAAGAACATTATTCTTTCTCATATATCAATTGAAATATCAACTGAAAAATGGGTAGGTTAGGTCTTGGGCAGAGGTAAATTTTTCTACAAACCTTGGAACAATAACAGTCTGTATTAAAAGAATGCTTCAAGATTTGGAAGAATTTAACATTACTCACTCATTAACTTTGATCATTCTAGCAACAATTTGACAAGTTCAATGTGGCTCTACAAATGTCAAAAAAAAATAATCAGACAAATTCCTCTCTGACTGCACTCTAAAACTAAAGTGTTCCAAGTTCAATAAATCTAACTTTTGCTTTTTTGTCACTGTTGTAACAAGAAATTAACAAAAGAAAAGCGAGAACTCAGTTACTGTACTGAACTTCCGGAGTTAAGTTCTAGTGTTTTTAAACTACCATCCCTAGAAAATGAAGTTATTTCCATTTTTATTATTAATAGAAATATGGAGAGATTAATATGGGATATCACTGCTGGAGACTTAAGCAGTTTCTTTTAATAAAGTATATTTCTAGAATATTTTCTTGAAGAGATAATCCTCAAACTTTGAATTAATTGCTTGCAAGTCTTATCAATTAAAAAGAGGGTTTTTTGCAGCAGAATTTAATCAGACAAGCTGAAGACATTTTTGAAAAATGGTGATCACCTTAGTGAGAAACTTATAAAGCTCTTTTTGCCAGATGCTAAGTTGAAAAGAACAATGAGACATTTTAAATTGAGTTTGATTTGATTATTCTATTTCATGCATTTCTCTTGCTGCTGTCCCCTCCCCAACTCTCCTGGTAACCCCACTATCCCACTCTAGAAGACCTCCTAAAATGCTCACTTCCTTTAGATCTTAGGGAGGTCCACTGGTGGGATTTGCAGGCTGGAGAAAGCATGGAACTTGGATTACATAGTGGAGAACGGGATATAGAGAGACCCAGCAAAGTGCGGGAGGGTACAGTGGTGAAGACAAGAAGGGTGACAGCAGAGTGAGGGATAGTGGACACGTGGAACACAGGGTGTAGCAAAACGGGGGAGAGTAGAGGAGTTGATCATTGGGAAAAGCAGAATGTGAAATATTCCACCTCACCTGCAGATCCTATAACTCACAGAGCCCCCACACTTGACAAAGCTTAGAAGGCTTCTCAGGGTTCCTAAGAGCCACCCACATTTTCTAGGGGGCTCATCTCTGCAATTGCTTCTATGTGGAAATTTTAGGTAAATATTCAAGCCAGTGCATATTTTCATGTTTAAACTATGAACTTTAATTACAGCAGCAAAACTAAGTACAGGGGACCAAGTATTCAGTCATTATTTATATAGCGCTATAGGGTGCAAGAGGCCTTACAAATGTGTAAGTCCATGCCCTGAGTTTACAAGCCCAGGAGAAATCGTTACCCAAGCAAGCAATCCCAGGGGACCTAATCATGTAAAGATTAGGGGATTGAGCCCTAAATTAGACAACTAATACAAAGTCTAATGACAACAGACCTTTGTTGATATTGAGGGGAACAAAGGAAGGAAGACAAAAAAAAAAAAAGATATTTCAGGAGAACGTCTGCATGAGAAAGGCCTTGCAAAATCTGACCCAGAATTCTAAGACACTGCTGAAAACTGACATTTTACCTATACAGAAAAAAGGAGCACTTACTGATGTCAGGGCAAGTCCAAAACTTGTAGACTGATGCTTCATCTGGATTTCAATTTTGTGAAGTAGGGCTTCAATCCTCTCTTCCTCAAATCCTTTCCTTTGGGGAAAGTTTTTGTTTTTGTTTTGTTTTTTTTAATATAGATATAGTGTGTGTACATATATACAAATACCCCCACATCCCCGAGAGAAGAACGCATGCACCCATTAACACATGAAAATGAATTATAATATTGATGAAGACGTGAAAATGAATGATAGTATTGATGAAGCATTGGTACTTAGTATGTACCATATAGAATAAAACCAATATGAAGTATGATCATACTGTGTCATTTAATGAAATAGCACTATTAACTCCGAAATATTATGGTGAGGGGCACACTATAGGACAAGTATTTAAGGAAGCAGGGAGGAGAGGGGCAATAAATAAGATTAGTTCTTAAAAGTATTGAACCATTGGAAATTGCTACTTTAGTGTAGTTTTCATACATTTAAAAATACATATTTTAAAAATACACTTCTAGTAATAGTTTTTGGTAAAAGAATACTTCGAGAATTTAACATTACTCACTCAATAACTTCATCTATTGTTCTAGCAGTAATTTGTTTGATGGTTTCTATGTCTTTCTCAGCAATTCCCTGCAGGCCTACACTGAAGTAAGCCTCTTGCGTGCAGCCATTAAACCTAGAATTAAAAAAAACATTTATTCCAGTGGTAGGTACTGAAACTTTGACACAGAACCACAGAAAGGTAATAACTAGTTAATGAATGTAAAAAAAAAAAAAAAAAAAAGTTAGAATTTACAAGATTTAGACTAAGATGGAAAAGAAAAAACCTAACAAAAAGGCAAGGAGCCAAAATCTTCAGCTATTTATTTTTCAGTCTCAGTAGGAATGGTACACGGTTTTTAAAAGTTTCAGCCATACTTCAAACTAAAGAATGAAGAACAGCTACAGAACCAAAACTAAAATAGGAAGGACTGAAAAAATCTTGGAATTAATCTGTATTAGTGTTTTCAAATACAGAAGATTTTTCTGTATTTATATTATTTTTTTTTGATGGCAGACACGAAGAGGAAAACTCTTTTTAAACCAACACGTTCATTTTACTTATGACAGTGAGTAGAAGGGGTCTACAATTTAGTCTTCATATAGCAGTCTTTGAAAATTGAGTGCAGAGATGATATTTTGGGGGTTCCATGTTTGTGTCTCAGTGACTCAATAGATTTAGGGAAACTGGGATAAAGAAATTGTAGTCCAAGTTTTCACAAGTGACTAACTTTAGGGCTCAACTCTAAAAACTTAAGGTCCCATTTCCAGAAGTCCTGATCATCCTACAATTCCAACAGCAGCCAATGTAATAGGAGCTGTAGGGGTTCAGCACTGGTGAAAATCAAATCCCCTGCACTTAAAATTTAGCACACCAAAACTGAGCCACCCAAATTAGAGGCCATTTACATTTCCCCCACCCTCCTAAATGACTTGTCAAAGACCATAAAGTGATCCAGAATTCAGAAGTGTCTAATTCTCCGACTTATGCTCATTCCTCTAGACTATTACTCCAGGGGGAATTGTGCACAATTGTGCATGCGCAGAATTTATGTCCTCCGCAGACTTCTTTGAAACACAAACACTCAAACCGCCCACCCCCGCCCCGCAGATCCCCACTCCCCCTGCATCTGGACCAAGCCGAAGAGCCATCCACACCTGGATCCCAACCCCACTGAGCCCCACTCTCCAAGCATCTGGACCCCGCACTGAGCGCCCCCACACCCAGATACCCCACTGAGCCACGTTTATCCAGATTGCCCCACACAGAACCCTCATCTCACACCTGGATCCCCCACACTAAGCCCCTCCATATTTGGATCCTGCCTTGCTGAGCCTGCCTGCCCACATCTGGTGCACCTGGCACAGCTGGGCAAGGCTCTGGGGTGTTTCTGGGGCAGGCCCAGTCCTTGCGCTGTGTCAGGGTTGGGTGCAACCTTGCCACTGAGTCTGTGTCCCAGGGGGAGCTGCACAGTGGCCTGCCGTCTCCAAACAGCCAGGGGCCTCTCCCCCCAGAACCATGCTGGAGCCTCCTCTTTTATTTGAGGAATAAAATTTGCAGAATTTTAAAATATTGTGCACGGAATTTTTATTTTTTTTGGCACAGAATACTCTGGGGAGTAGACTATGCTGCTTCTTAACGTTGCACTGATAGATACATATAAGCTAAATTGGAAGTTACCAATGAGTTTCTTGCCAAGAAGTTGCACATTAACCTAGTAGGTACTAAATACTGTCATTTTAATTGGAATGAAGTGTAATTATTTAAAACATTAAGTACTCAGAAATGATTCTACCAGCAGTTATACACATGGGTATCTTTACTCATATAGAGTCCCATTTCTCTGTTCAATATATTACAAAACAATATCTGTACAATGCTCTATGTCTACAAGAGACTTTTGGAAATGCAAGGTAACTTAGATATTGTACTATGAAAATCTGATGGTATTTCATTATACCAATAAAGATGTGTTTGTGACAATCTTCATAGTACACTAAATCAATCAGAAAAAAAAAAGCGCACCATAAGTAAATAAAAGCCTATCAAAGATTAAATTTACTGACTTTTCCGAAGTAATCCTAAAGCACTTAAGATGTCAAGATAAAATAGTTTTGGATATTGAAAAAAAATACTTTGACATGCGAGAGACTGCCACAGGGTTTCAATCCACTTGCTCCAGTGTATAGAGACAAACATACATCTGAAAACAACTGTTTAAACATTGCATGCAAGTAATTGGTAATAGCAAAATAGCAACATGGATTGTGAATTATGGGCCTTATTCTCAACTCCATTAAATCAATGTAAGTCAAGAATAAAACTATTTGTGTATCTTGCAAGGTCAAAATTTACACTTGAAGATACTTCACTGTTCCACTATGGAAAAGAGTAAAATACACCAGAAGATTCTTGTATAAAAATAGCCTGAAAATAATAAGAGTTAGCTTTCTCCCCACCTATCCTTCGATTTATTTTTTAAAAAAGGAAGTAATTTTATAACAAGAGCAGTATCAACGTTACAGGAGTTATAGTCATTAAAAGGTGATGCAAAGTGAATTGCGACACTTACCCAACATCAGGAGAAAAGTCTGTACCAAGATTGGCCTCAAGTAAGGCTTTGTAGAAGGGAGAATTAGGTCCACCAACCAACAGCGAAGACAACAGGTTAAGCGTGAAAGTTTCATAAGTATCTGTAATGCTAAGTAAAAAAATAAGTTTCAAAAAAATCAGTGTTACAGCATGGTTTTCTTTAAAATGGGATTGTGGGTATTATGTATTATATTTAAGTTATTGTTGGTATCAAACTACAGGGTGTGGGCTGGGAAGTGTGTGTGTGAGGGGGAGAGCAGAGGTTTTTGTTTTGTTTTTTAAAGTCACTGACAGTTGTGCACACACAGCTTGGGATCCTAGAGTTAAACTGGGTTCTTTCCACCTGCTACATCATTGCCAGTCAAAGGTTTTACTGGTTGAATTAGGCCCTGAGGTACATCTGGGCAACCCCATTACATGTAATAAGTCTGCCTAGATGCAACTCATTAGCATACAGTGAACCATTGGTCCCTAAACACTGGTCCGCAGAATACATGGTATTGGCTCTTTATTTCCACCCGCTAAAGTGGAAGACAGTTAAAAATACATTATTGCTTTCTTAACATTAACTGCTCTACATAATGACAGGTTTCAGAGGAACAGCCGTGTTAGTCTGTATTCGCAAAAAGAAAAGGAGTACTTGTGGCACCTTAGAGACTAACCAATTTATTTGAGCATGAGCTTTCGTGAGCTAGCTCATGTTCAAATAAATTGGTTAGTCTCTAAGGTGCCACAAGTACTCCTTTTCTTTTTGCTCTACATAAGAAATTGATGTAATTGTCACAGAGATGTTAATTTAATTGGAAAAGGGAGAGAAGGGAGGGCCACACAGTCATGATGGGATGTGAGGTGACCCACACTATGAAACAAATTTGAGAATCCTTATAGTAAACAATTTTGATTAAGCTCATGGTGAAATAAACTCTTAGTAAGTTCCTGATTTAAAGGAATAAGCATGATTCTTCTGTTGAAATTTCAATACACTTACTCTGTCAGCAAGAAGCTAACACTGATAGTTGTCTGCTTTGTAGGGTCTGCAGCAAATGAATCTGAGCCACATTTCACATGATGCTCTCTCTGTCAAGTATAATAAATAAGTAACTAGAGGCAGTAACATGATTTGAAACATTAAACTTGAACGGAAGTTAATAATAAAGCATAATTTGTGTTTCTATAGTATCTTCCTTCTGAGGATTTTAATACACTTTATAAACGAGTTAACTTGTAAATTCATGAATACGTCATCCCTGCTTGTTATCACCCACGTGAGGTAGGTAGTATCTCCATTACAAGTGGGAAATTGAGAAAGAAAGGGCCAAACAAATCCTGCCCTAACTTCCATCCCATTTGCATCCTGGTTGCAAATTAAAGCAGGAATTGGTCCAGAGAACAGAGCAAGCTTCTGGCAGAGCTAGGAATTAAGCCCACATCTCCTAACTCCCAGAACTCTGTGTCAATTGCTAGATGGATAATTCTCTAGTTAGTGAATACACTGTGGCAGTCTTCAAACACTGAGGGATCATTGAGACCCTAAATATAACAGTATACAGATCCTAGAAGTCAATCATTTAAATTTATCATAAGGCCCAAAAACTGTTAACACTTTTACAACCAAACAAAATGTGTGAGTTTTCTATAAAAACAAACAGTAAGTTGAATAGCATTGCAGAGCAGACTCAATATTTAAAGTAGTGCAATATAAAGGCTTGTTACATATTTATCTTTTACTTACAGGCTTATCCCAGAGTTGCTGTACTGGGATGGCAGTATTTGGTTCAATTCTATGAAACTTAGTCAGCGCTTCTTCATGAATTTGTTTTAAATGCTGCTCCAATGGGAAGTTACCATAAGTGAAGAACCTGCATTTTAAATGTAAGATTAGGATTTAATTTTTTAAAATTAATACAGCAGCAATGAAGTCTGACTTTCATGCATCTTTTAGTGAGTTATATGCAGAAATGAATGTGTCTTCATGGCCCCCAAACCTGTCAAAAATGTCACCAAAAATTCTGCTGCAGAAATAGAACTAGCACACACTAATCAGAAAGTTATTCAGAGCTGAAGATCCCATGCCATTTTCCAGTTTCATGCACTGAAGTCAAGAGCACTAAAAGCCAGCAGCTAGTTTGTAGGACAATCATACAGTACTCTTGGCGGGAAAAAGCTGCGTGTCCAAACAACCTAATCCCAGCAGGAAAATTCCCAAAACACTGTGTTTTTTAGAAGAGAAGCAAGGTTATTTAGCTTCTTGCAATACAGATAAGATCGCACAATCCTTGCCTCAGTGAGGTTACAAATTTTGGCCTCATCCTGCAATTGGGTCCACTGAGGCAGACCCTTGCACTTGCAAGGAGCATTATCGATTGATGGTGGCTCTAGGAGCTGCCTATGCTGATCATATTGGATTATCAAGATCTATATTTAGACATGTTAGTAAAAGCAGGATGAAGAGAGAAACAAAACAGGGGGATGCGGCTGGGAGGTCATCATTGCAATAGCTTAATCAATTTCTCATGAAAGATGCTGGATTGATAGCCCTCTAAGCTGAATTTCTATTTATCCACATAATTGGTTCAGAAAAGGGAGAAGCAATACAAGTTTCCCCACTAGTACCCCTCAATTCTATCTGAAGGAATCACCTTTCAGTCTCCATGTCAAGTGAATTATTAGCTTCTATGCAGGCCTTGCCAAATATACCAACAGTTAATGGCTGAGCAATGTCAACACCTACCAGTAGGAATCCAATAGCATTACCTCATGTCACACAAGCCACTGAAGAGCCATCAGATTATAACATCTTTCTGTGACTTCCAATGTGGGCTGGATTTGAATGAGTGACAAAATTTAAAAAAAAACAAACAAAATAAAAAAACCCTATACCCATTTATCCATTCTTGGGGCTATAACATTTTTCCTCACGCCTTACTTAGTAAACACTAATATAAAGAAAATACCTGCTTTATTGCGAGAGACACAGGTAAACATATACACGGTTAACCCAGTATATCACCTAAGTCGTCAGCAACAACAATTTAAAGTACCTAGCATTGCTTGGATGATAATGAGTGGCATGGAACTGTTTAAGCTGTTCCCATGTAAGGTCAGGAATACTTAATGGGTCTCCACCAGATATTACACCATAAGTGTGATCAGGAAGGAGTTTATTCTGTAGGTGTTGTGAGAATAACCTCTCATTGTCTGTCTTAAGGGGAAAAAAAAGATACATTTTAGCAAGCCATCGGAAGAAACTTTAAGATTAAAAATATTTAACAGTAAGACCTAATCTTATAGTCCTTATTCATAAAAGTAATTCTTACACAAGCATGTAGTCCACCAGTTTCATTGACTTTAATACAACAATTTTTATTAAAAAGTTTTTGTCACTTTAATCAGATCACTAGTGGCCTATTGCTGCAACATCATAATTCCAACCTTTGCTCAAAAGATAGGACAACAGCAAGATTCACCACTTAAATACTACATTTATATAAATAATAAGCTTTTCAACAGACTATCCTTCAAAATAAATCTTATTCAATCTATCTTCAGAATTACTATTGAGTATATGAGGTTAATAGTGGGGAGAGTAGAGCTATTCAAACTCAATGAAACTATGAAATTGTTAATCTGCAATCTCAACTATTTTAGATATTCACAATGCACTTTTATAGTGTTGATAATAAAAGCCAGAACTTACAAATGCCCCTTTCATTTCATTAAAAACAATTCCTTTGAAGACTAGTGGTGTCTGAGGATCAGTTGGATTCTCATGCTCTAACCTCCAACCTTCTTGCCTGTAAAAAAGTTTTAAAATATAAGCAAGTCTTTGATTTTTAATGTTTATACACACAACTGTACAAGTCTTACCAGAAATCTAGTTGTCGCAAACATGGGAAAAAAGCAGCATCCAAATACACAGACAGGAGATTCTGAAAATCCTTTGGATTTTGTGTTGAAAATGGGTAGAGTGTGTAATCACTGGCTGTATACAAACAAAGTCAAATATTAATGACCAAAGTATTTTAGGAAGTTTGCAGTGCATTTCACTTCCTATTTTTATTTTAAGTTTGATTGTCCAAATAATTAACTGGAACAGAGTAGAAGCTCGCTAATTTGCACACCCAATAACTTCTGTAGAACGTGATGGTTTCTCCCCACTCCTCAGCAAAGATCTAATACTATAGTAAGGAATTCATTGCTAAGATAGCTGTTTTGTAAAAGTGATGCTAACAGAACATTTACTTATATGCTATGAAATACCAAATAGTACACCTCTACCCAGATATAATGCGGTCCTTGGGAGCCAAAAAATCTTACTGCATTATAGGTGAAACCGCGTTATATCGAACTTGCTTTGGCCTTGAGCATTTCCGTTATTAATAATCACTTCCCGGCAGACTGACCTCTCAGAACCCCCGACCGATCCAACCCCGCCGCTCCTTGTCCCCTGACTACCCCCTCCAGAGACCCCTGCCCCTAACCACCCCCAGGACCCCACCCCCTACCCTACACCCCTGCTCCCTGTCCCCCGACTGCCCCGCCCCCATCCACACCCCTGCCCCCTGACAGGCCCCTCCCAGGACTCCCACGCCCTATCCAACACCCCCGTTCCCTGTACCCTGACCACCCCCCAAGACCCTGTGCCCCTTATCCAACCCCTCGGCCCCAGCCCGGCACCCTTAACACGCCACTCAGAGAAACGTGTTGGAGCCAGACGCGCTGACGCGCCAGAGCGTCAGCCCCGCCCCCCGGAGCGCTGCTTTACCGTGTAATATTTGAATTTGTGTTATATCAGGTTGCGTTATATCGGGGTAGAGGTGTATATGAAAATTAATCTATACTTGTCAAATGAACAAAATACATTTTATGCATCAGCACCGACTTGCTTGTTTATAAAATTCAACATTTTGCAATGGATCTCCCAGTCAATGTAATTAGAAAGGTTCAACAATATTTATAAATAACTATAGCAAAAACAAACAAACATGGTATTTAGGAAGTAAGCCATAATCATAAAGTAAAAGATAATTAACAATACTGTATATGCCAGGGGTTCTCAAACTTCATTGCACCACAATGGGTGCAGGGGGTGGAGGGATGGCTCAGTGGTTTGAGCATTGGCCTGCTAAACCCAGGGTTGTGAATTCAATCCTTGAGAGGGCCATTTAGGGATCTGGGGCAAAAATTGGTGATTGGTCCTGCTCTGAGCAGGGGGTTGGACTAGATGAGCTCCTGAGGTCCCTTCCAACCCTGAAATTCTATGATACGACCCCCTTTTGACAACAAAAATTACTACACAACTCCAGGAGGGGGGAGCGAAGCCTGAGCCTGCCCGAGCCCCACCACCCCAGGTGGGAGGGGAAAGAGGGAAGAAAGCCAAACCCTGAGCCCCACTGCCCTGGACAGAGGGGGTGAGATGGGTGCAGAGCCAAAGCCTTGGGCTTCAGGCCAAGGTGGCTGGACTCGGGCTTCAGCCCCACAAGTCTAAACTAGCCCTAGCGACCCCATTAAAACAGGGTCGCAACCCACTTTGGGGTCCCAGATTGAGAACCGCTGAATTATACGCTCTTAGTTATCTTGAACTTACCTGTGAATGCATTCATGAAAGTGGACAGTGATCTGTTTAACATTTTAAAGAAAGGATCTCTGCAAGGATACTTCTGAGAACCACAAAGCACGGTGTGTTCAAGGATATGTGGAACACCAGTACTGTCCAATGGGGTGGTACGAAATTGTACACTGTAAAAGAATGCAACACAATAGTTTGTGACCAAAAGACAGCACATCTATTACTTGTTTTGCAGTTTAGCCTTAAGTGAAAGGCAGCATGCTTTAGTAACTAAACTAGTCTTCCAATACTGGTGCTGCTGGGAGGCAGAAACATCATATCTTTTAAGGGGAAAAAAAACAAGCTCACAATTAGAGGACTTTTGGGGGCTCGCCAGGAGAATGTATACCTTTTGGATGATATATGGTGTTTTTCCAGTGCATGATATGCGGTTCAGCAGACAAATTAAGTAGCTAAGGTTGTTGATAAAACAGCTGCAGTAGCTAACACCTATATAGTAAATGTACGTCCCCTTTTGACAGTGACTATAGCAATAATTGTTACTAACCTTACAGGTAAATTGTGTGAATTAAGTTTTTGACAACATGTGAAAATTGTACCACTTTAAGTTAAAAACAGCAGCATCTTCTTGCGTAGAAGCTCTTAAATCCATTTAAGAGGGTCTTACACCAACTTAGTTTACAAAGATAAGCAATCAACATAAGAGAAATTGATAAAGCACTCTGAAATGGATTTCCTTACTGAAAAAATAAACTCATTTCACTAATTAAAAGGCAGAATTCAAATTAAGTTTTTCAACAGTTTTGGTAAAATAGGATTTTTTAAAATCTTGCAACTATGAGCTTCTTAAATGGAAAGTATTAGTAACGTTTGAGTATTATGAAGCTGTATTAGCATTTGCAGGTCTCAGGTCGATCTTCATATGGAAAGTGCCTTATAAATACTAATACTAAAATGAATACCTGAATAGATTATTGGAGTCCTCACGTGCCACATGTAAATATTTGGCTCCTGTGTTCTCATGACTAAGCTTCACTGCAGTTAGGAATAGCTCAGGAACAGCTTCTACCTACATTGGAAGAAAACTTCCATGTTAGTATTTATATAAATTCTAGGTAAAATAATTTGAGAACACTATGAAAAGAACCAGCTAGCCTCTGCTGCACATCAAACACTAGAACTGAATTAGAAGAAATTAAGGTTATGATGGAAAGCAAAAGCAAAGAATTACATACGGAAGATTACACCACCATATCATTCAATATTATATTAAAGTCAGGCACATTCAAAGGATTAACAGTCATCCCACTATGTTTTACATGCAAGTATGCTTTACCTTCCTTGTCTTTGTTGTTTTATGTTGCAACCCTTTTTTGATATATTACAAAAAAGTCACCAATATTTTTAAGAAACAAAGTATTAAGGAGTAACGTAGAAAAGCCTAGGATTTTACTGTGTTCCCGTTTGCTGAAAGGTGCACTGTTATGTACGCTGTCATTGACAGATACTTTCCACGTGCTATAAATGATTTTGCAAGACCATTTGCTGCTTATGTACCTCCATGTTTCTGAGAGCCAGATGAAGCACTTATACCCCCATCCTGCAGCTGGATTTATGTGTAGGTCCTGGCCCTCACACCCAAATGGAGTCTGATTAATATCAATGGGACTCAAGAAGTCACTAAATTGCATCTATTTCAGGATCAGATCCTTAGGTTGTAAATAAAACTTAGTTGGTGAATAAAACATTAGTGGTACGGGTCTATTTTTAGCAGATAGTTTTCATAGCATGTTGAATCAGAGGTGAATAAATACAAGAAAAGTAAATTAAACAACACAATTACCTGAAGGGCAGAAATTGTGTCAGAATTAGTAACCAACAATACTTGTCTGGTATAGGAAACAATCTTTGAACAATTTGGCCACTTGTATAAATTGTAAGGAGAAGATAAAGTGTAAATTCAGAAGATAGGGTACTGCGCTAAGGATCTACTTGCTATTACTCGCTTCAGCTCAGATCACTGATTTTGGTCAACTTACTTCCAACTCTATGTGCTAAAGTTTCCCCTCTGTAATATGGGGATAATGACAGACTTCCTTTAAAAGGATATCAGATGAAAAGAGCTATATAAATATTGCTACTTCCACTACAATAAATAGGGTATGCCTCCCTGACTTAAGAAGAGTTCATATTTTTGTAATGACTTACAGAAACAAATAGCAAAGAACACACAGTGAAATACAAGTACTGACAGATGACTGAATGTTTAATATAATAGTTTTCAATGGCTTGAGTTTCTTCTCCAAAGTTTACATACAAGTCACTGTGTTTTCCTTATAACAAATTCTAACAGAATTAGTATCTTCTTTTAAAGCAGGCATTTTGTTTTAGCACTGCCTAAAGATTTTTGTCCACAAGAATATTTTAGCTGCTTCTATTTGATACTCAAAGCATATATGTAAATATTTACCCTGCAACCCTAACTCTTGGTCTCAATTTCTGCAGGGAAACATCTAACACTAAATTCTTTTGTCCAGTTATAAAGTACTCACAGTGAGACTGAGAAAAAGACAATACTGTACCTGGTTTACAGTGAACCCATGGATTTGTTCTCCTATCTTGTACTGTAGTGCTCTTTCATTTGCAGGCCCACTCTTCCACCTCCATGACTTTTGATTCAAAGTCCTGAAATAACATTTTCTTTTTGAAAAAAGATGCAACCGCAAGAGTAGGTTTCTCTGTACCTTATCCCCTTTCTGTGCTTAATTTTGGGGGTGGGGAAAAGGGTGTATTATTACAAATATTGCATTCTATAGACCAGTGATTCTCAACCTATTTACCATTGTGGGCCACATGTGTGTTATGTGGGCTGCATCCAATGCTACCAGCATGGCCCTGAGGATGTCACCTGGGCCGCAGCTGGGTGCTGACTGGGTTGCAAGCAGCCCATTGGGCACAGGTTGAGAACCACTGCTACAGACAAATGCCACGTTCCTACCTAGAAGACTTTACAAGATAAAGTTGAAATTATTGCAAGATCGGAGCCTCATATGAACAGCCCCTCCTTCCCCCACGCACACAAAATTTCACTGACTTCAATGGGCATATGCCTATATTGAGCTCATTTCAGGATTGGGGCCTAAAACAAAAGAGGCAAACATTGCTTAGGGTGGGTGTCAACTTTAGGGTCTTGTCTATATTGGGAAAATTTCAAAACAAAAACAAACATTCCCATCAGTTCACCAAAGCCCTCCTGCAATCAAAACTCCAGAGGCCAGACCTATTTTTACCTCTGTGTTAGTTATGTCAGTTTTTCTTGCTGAACTGGTAGGAATTTTTGTAGATGCTTTCCAGTGTAGACATGGCCCAGAATTATGCAATATTTTAAGGGAGTAATGTGAGGACTGGGGAGAGCAATCAGCATCATTGGGTTATGTCACATTGATCAGAGTTATAGGAAGTAGAAGACTTTGAGTGAAGTAATGGTTTTGCTGGGGTAATATCAGGGAAATAAACAAGTTCTAGATAATAGGATGGGGGAGGTTGTGTGTCAGGGTAATAGTAGAAATGTAGCTGGGAAGGACAGTTAGAAGGAGGGACCACAGAGTGATTAAGATCTATGGAGTGTGAAGGAGGGGTTTCTGTGAGGCAGTGTCAAATGGATTATGACCTCACTAGGGGAGGTATTTCTGTAGCAGATTAACAGCAGGGGGTGAAATTGTGCATGTTGGTATAAGGACCCTGTGTGTAAATGAAGAGAGGGAGCATTATCAGGAGTAGGGACTGTGAGGGGGTCATATTAGAGACGGTCAGGATGATATGTTAGGATGTGTATGGATGAGGGGAATGTAAAATTTATAGGGGATAACAGGAAGTTTGGTACTGTAAGCACACAAACTGGGGGTGGGATGGGGAGAACGATGCTATTGGGGTGGTGGGGAAGGATATAGAGGGCTCAGGAAGGAGGATGATATGGCAGGTGGAGGAGGGCTACGAGAAGGATAGAGGGGATGTGTGGGGAAGAGGATAATATGGGAATATGTAGGGTTGGGAGAACGAGGACATGGGGTGTGCTGGGGGGAGATGTCTGGAAGAAAGGATGATATGGGGGAATATATAAGATGTGGGGGGTAGGGGAAAGGAGGGGATGTGGGGAGAAGGATGGTGTGGCAGCTGGGGGGGAAATAGAGGATGTGTAGGAGATGTCTTGAGGGGCAAATGCTGTAGGGTATGTGGTGAGGATAGAGGGGATATGGGGGTTGCTGGGGAAAGATGGATGTCTAGGGAGAAGAATGGAGCGGGGGGAGGATACAGGGAATGGGGAAGACGTCTGGGGAGACAAATGCTGTGGGGGGAGGATACACGGTGTGTGTTGGGTCTGGGAGAAGGGGGCTACGGAGACGAATACTGTGGGGTATGGGGGAGGATACAAGGGGTGTGGGGGGCTGGGGGAAGAGAGGATGTCTAGGGAGGCAAATGGTGTTGGGTAGGATATAAGGCGTGTGGGGAGTCTGGGGGGAATGTCTAGGGAAACAAATGCTGTGGGGGAGGATATAGGGGGTCTGGGGGAAGGGGGGTGTCTGGGGGAGACAAATGCTATGGGATGTGGGGGAGGATATACAGGGTGTGGGGGGTCTGGGGGAAGGGGGGGATGTCTAGGGAGATGAATGGTGTGGGAGGAGGATACAGAGGGTGTGGGGTGCCTGGGAGATACATACGCTGTGGGTGGAGGATATAGGGGGAAGGGGGGGATGTCTAGGGAAATGAATGGTGTGGGGGGAGGATACAGAGGGTGTGGGGAGGCTGGGGGGTGTCTGGGGGAGATGAATGCTGTGGGGTGCAGGGGAGGATATGGGGGGATGTCTAGGGAGACGAATGGTGTGGGGTGCGGATACAGAGGGTGTGGGGTGCCTGGGAGAGACATATGCTGTGGGGGGAGGATATAGGGGGAAGGGGGGGATGTCTAGGGAGACGAATGGTGTGGGGTGCGGATACAGAGGGTGTGGGGTGCCTGGGAGAGACATATGCTGTGGGGGAGAATACAGGGGGTCTGGGGGAAGGGGGGCGTGTCTGTGGGAGACGAATGCTATGGGATGTGGGGGAGGATACAGAGGGTGTGGGGAATCTGGGGGAAGCCTAGGGAGACAAATGGTGTGGGGGGGGGGAGAATACAGAGGGTATGCGGGGTCTGGGACAGACATATACTGTGGGGGGGGTATAGGGGGGGGATGTCTAGGGAGACAAATAGTGTGGGGGGGAGAATACAGAGGGTATGCGGGGTCTGGGACAGACATATACTGTGGGGGGGGGTATAGGGGGGGGATGTCTAGGGAGACAAATAGTGTGGGGGGGGAGAATACAGAGGGTATGCGGGGTCTGGGACAGACATATACTGTGGGGGGGGGTATAGGGGGGGGATGTCTAGGGAGACAAATGGTGTGGGGGGGAGAATACAGAGGGTATGCGGGGTCTGGGACAGACATATACTGTGGGGGGGGTATAAGGGGGGATGTCTAGGGAGACAAATGGTGTGGGGGGGGGAGAATACAGAGGGTATGCGGGGTCTGGGACAGACATATACTGTGGGGGGGGGAGGATATGGGGGGATGTCTAGGGAGACGAATGGTGTGGGGGGAGAATACAGAGGGTGGGGGGGGGGCTGGGGGCGTCTAGGGGAGACGAATGCTGTGGGATGTGGGGGAGGATACGGGGTGGGCCTAGGGGAAGGGGGGTTTCTGGGGAGGAAGATGCTCGGGGCGGGCGACGCGTGTGAGCCGGTGGATGGGGCGATCGGGCCCCAGGACCGCCGTCCCCGCCCTACAGCGCCCCCCGCTCGGCCCCTCCTCACCGGCTGAGGCTCAGCAACAGCAGCCGCCGCGCCGCCCGGTAGCGGCCCCACATGGCGCAGCCCGTGACCCCCGGCGCAGGAACCCGACTGAGGCGCCACGCCGGGCCGCGTCCGGGCCTGCCGCTGCCTGGGGCCTCTGGCGGGGCGGCTCCGCCCCGAGACCCGCCCTGCACCGGGCCCTCATTGGCGCGGCTGCCCGTGGCTCCGCCTCCCGCCGGCGGGGAGAGACGCCCCGGTTCCGGCCTGGGCCCGCGGTCGCCCCGGCGCCTCCTCGCCCGGCGCTCGCCGGTTGAGGGCAGCCCGCGCGGCAGCGACAGCCGCCCCGGGGCGCTCTTGTCTCAGGCTCGACAGCGGGAGGCTCCGAGCACGGTCACCTCGCACCCCCTTGGGGGGGCTCCCGGGCATTTCCCGCCGCGAGGCTGGGCTCGGGGGCGCCCGGCGTGGCTCCTCCGCGGGGTCAGCCCCGCTCCCCTGGGGCTGGAGGGCAGCCCCGCTCCGCTGTGCTCAGAACTAGTCACCTGGTGGAAAAGACACAACTTGGAAAGGCGGGGGGGGGGGCGCGCTGTCTATTGTCAGGTTCGCAACTCCTCGCTCTGTCTATATCAGAAACGCTCATCATTGCCGCAGTCCGCCTTGGGTTAAAGAGACGGGAATATTCGGGAAGTCGCTCATCCAGTTTCGAACCGGCCACCCTCTTGGGGTGCTTTGTCCCCCAGCTGGTTCTGGCAAAGCTGGACATGGCTTTGTCCAATATCTGATCGGGGGTGGCGCACGTTTTAAGAGTGCCCCACTTAGGCACAACTTCACCTGCACCAGTACACACGAGGTCATGGCCGCCAGTGCCGGTGTGCTCTTAGAGAATGGTGCCCTTCCTGCTCCCTTTCTCCAGCCGGTTGGTGTGTGCAAGGTGAGACTGGAGGAGGTGGGGTGATGCCACCAGGCGTGAGTCCATGTCATTCCCAGAAGTACCAGAATATCTAGTATTCTGGGAATGCCTGAGTGGCCACCCTAGATATGATACAGAAACACGGTAATCCGATCTCTCTCTAATAGGGCTCTACATCAATAGAGCACCTATGGCATCGTTTCTAGTATTTATTTCTCTGATTACACAAATTTAATAGGCCAGGCATGCCAGTTAGTATTAAAAAAAATTGAACAAGTGTAGGGTGAATGTACTTTCTCTGAATATCTAAGCATCTGTTTGTCCTCTGTTTTGCTGGACATGTAACTGATGGGTTCACTTTTAAATAATAATTACCTCCTGTATTTTTGAGCCATTCCGCTACAGTTGGATTATTTTTCTTTTTCCAGTGAGACGCTACCAATAGTTGAGCAGCTACTAAAGATGAGAGATTAATTCTTCATGTCCTTTTATATGTCCATTTCCACTAGGAAGTGCTAGGAAAATTACCTAAGGATCATTTGGTAATGAATAAGTAAGTAAGGAAGTGTTATTTATTCCTTCTCATAACTCAAGAACTAGTGGTCACCAAATGAAATAGGTTTAAAACAAACACAAGGAAGTTTTTCTTCACACAACATACAACCTGTGGAACTCTTTGCCTCAGGATGTTGTGAAGGCCAAGACTACAACAGGGTTCAAAAAAGAACTAGATAAGTTCATGGAGGATAGGTCCCTCAATGGCTATTAGCGAGGATGGGCAGGGATGGTGTCCCTAGCCTCTGTTTGCCAGAAGCTGTGAATGGGCAACACAGGATGGATCACTTGATGATTACCTGTTCTGTTCATTCCCTCTGGGGCACCTGGCATTGGCCACTGTCAGAATACAGGATATTGGGCTAGATGAACCATTGGTCTGTCCCAGTATGGCCTTTTTTATATAAATAGCCAGCCATCTGTGATTCTTGGTTATGGATTGCATCCCACTAATATCTAGTGACTGGATATGTCCACCATACATGCATAAAATCTGATCTTTCACTGCAATTTCTCCAACACTTATTTCTGTTCAATCTATATGTATATTTAAGCTGATTAGAATTAATTACCATTGAAACAGTATGCTAAAGAAATTTTCTTTTATTGTGCAACAAACTGAGGTTACTGGTCCTCTTTTTCCAGATCAAACCCCAACCCTCATGAATAATTTGTACTTTCCCCGGCATATTGTATAAGGTTATTTTTTGTGTTAGGAAAGTTGTCTGCAAAGATTAATATAAATTAGTTTCAATGTTTTTGTTTCCTAATTGACCAAATATTGTCACTTCTATGAAAGGTAGCTTTCTGTATTGTGACGGGGCAAGGCCAGATGGCTATAGAAAAGTAGTGGGAGATAGATATATTAGCTCCAGGCTAAACAAATCCCTGGTACTAGGATAAGTGAAATGGCAGCTGCTCCAGGTCAATTAAGACACTTGGGGCCAATTAAGAACTTTCCAGGAGGCAGGGAAGATGCTAGGTTGATGGGGACACCTGAAGCCAATCAGGGACTGGCTGAAACTAGTTAAAACCCTCCCAGTTAGTCAGGTGGGTATGCATGTCAGGAGCTGTAGGAGGAAGTTATGCTGTTGGAGAGATTGAGTAGTACATGCCATATCAGGTATAAGGAAGGAGGCCCTGAGGTAAGGGTGAAGTGGAGCTTAACAAAGTCAGGGTTGCTGTGGGGGAAGTAGCCCAGGGAATTGTACATGTCATGTTTCTAAGAGGTCAGCTACCATAGCTGATACTATTAGGGTCCCTGGGCTGGAGCCTGGAGTAGAGGGTGGGCCTGGGCTCCTTTGCCCCCTGATTAATCATTGAGACTGGGAGATAACAGAGACTGTGCAAGGAAGGATAACTTCTCCTCACCTCCCTTGCTAGCTTATGATGAAAATGGCTCAGTAGACTGTAACCCTTGTCCCTAGAGAGAGAAGGGTTATGTGGAGGGTCAAAGTGAGCCTCTGAGGCTAGTGAAATCCTCCAGGAAACATGAGACCCACAGAGGCAAGGACAGAGCTTTGTCACAGCATACAACTATTTTTTCCTAGAAAGTTGAAAAACATAATACCTAACTTGAAAGTATTGGTACCATGGGAGAGTAGGCCAATTAGTTTTGATCTCTAAATGCAAGTTGGCAAATTTCTACTTCCAAGGTGGAAAAGTTCAGAAATTTACAGGCAACTCAGAATAGTGGGTCAGAACAAAAATCATTGTGCAGTCTTAAAGACAATCCTGAAAACCTACTCAGTTTTTAAAAAACTAAGTTCTAATTAATTTCACATACCGCACCTGTTACTGATGGCTCGCACATTCTCCTAACTTGTGGTTTTACAATCACATCTCCTTAGTTTTGGAAAAAAAAATCTATTTCCTGTTACATGAAGACAGACACAAACAACAGGGGAAACTAATCAAGGCCTGCAACTGGATTCACATGTGCAGATACTTGTACCGAAGCACAGCCCTATAGATACAGTAGTAACATGTTTTAAGTGGAGACCTGGTATGTAGACTGGGCAAGTACATCTTTGATGTCATTTGATTGACCTCAGTGGAGATTCACTAGAGATCAGTTTAACTCTGTGTGCCTACTGAAGAATCTATTGTATTTCAGTCTTCTATTCTTGTTCTGATCTTTACTGGCGATGGTCTGATATTTGATTTAGGTGATAAATTGAAATAATACATTTTTAGGTACTAATACAGGAATTGATGTCTCATCTTCATTGTATGGGCTCTAATACATATTCCAAAAGAGACCAAGAAGCTGGGGAATTAAGTATGTCCCCAAAAATTTTCAAACCCATGTTTCTACATGTAGATTCCTACATTTATATTTAGACACTTAGACATAAGCGGCCTGATTTTCGGAAGTGCTGAGAAACTTGTGAATCCATTTTAAGTCAACAGGAGCAGCAGGTGCTCAGGTCCTTTGAAAATCTGACCATTTCTATCTAGGTACCAACATTTTAGACACCAAAATTTTGGCTATGGCATTTTCTGAAAGCTTTGAAATCTTATGTGGCCCAACAATTTCCATTTAAAATATTTTACTAAATCAGCATCTATATCTTTCTGACTCCAAGCATGACAACACAGGTTTTAAAAAGGACACACTGTTTAACAACAGTTCAGCCACTTTAGTTCCTCTCTCTATACAGCACAGCATCCTCTGATCTTTATTTCCCTTTTCATCACTGTATGGCACAACTCTCCCCTCTTTCCCACTACATTGTGTACCCCCTTTATTCCTTTCATCTTCATTACATGACTCAGCTCCCTCATCTGTCTTCTCTCTCTTTTCCTCTACTACAGGGTGCAGCTCCACCAAAACACAGTGCAGATATTACTCCCTTATCTCTGTTCACCAGCTACAATGTTGCAGCCTATCCTTAGCGTCTTTCTGCCTCTCCCACTTTCCCTCTCAACTTACATGTTTTTCACTTTAGTTTTCTGTTATCTTTTGTTTTTACTTTTAGATTTTAACATTGGGAGCCAAATTCATTTCTGGTATAACTCTGATGTAGTTAAAGAAGGTTTTGGAAGATGTGCACTAACTAGGGTAACCAGATATCCCAATTTTATAGGGGGACAGTCCCGATATTCAGGGCTTTGTCTTATAGAGGATATTATCTCCCACCCCGTCCTAATTTTCACACTTGCTATCTGGTCACCCTAGCATTAACTCATCACCTGTATAGAACAGTGTCCTTCTATTTTCATTACCCTTGTCTGCCTTTCCTCCGCTCTCCTTCCTTCTCCCCATTTCACTTCTTTTGTTTCTTATTTCATTTGTTGAATCTTGGTTCAACTTAAATTTTAAGTTCTTTGGGGCAAGGACTATTTTTACTGTGTGTGTACAAGACCTAGCACAATGGACTGGAGCTTCTGGGCACTACCGTAGTAGTAGTAATACCATAATTACACCAGGAATTAATTAGGTTTCATCATAATTTTTTAAATATAATAAATTATGTTCTTGAAACAATAAATAAAAAGGGGTAGTTTCTGGAACTCCAAAGAAATGAGTTTACACTTCATAGTGTTTTGTTCAAATACAGTTTGAAATATTTTCTATTTATTTCCTCACACTAACACCATAATGTTAGCGTTTGACACCACGGAGCAATTTTTACTTTAAGAACATTATGTTGACCTTCCTCTTTCTATTTAGTTATGTTACTTATTTTCTAAGGTTTAGTATGAAGCATTT